TCTATATTTGCAATTTCCGCTACGTCAATTGACTTAACGTCTCAAATATACACCACTGTAACTGCTAACTCATTCCCATGGTCAAGAATTGGTCTGAAACAAAAAGAGCTGGCGGAGTCGATGGACGAAGGTTGGTGGCAGAAGCTTTTCTTGAGCCACTAGGTGATGCTCGCATAACAGCAAGCCTATATTCTCGGTTTTGACAACAATAGGTTTGAGAAAATTTCGCAACATATTAGAGAATGTAACCAGTAAACCATGTTACCAAAATAGCATTCTTATACTGAACTAAACCAATCGTATGGTTTCAAACATGTAAGTATTCAATTCCCCATCAAATATCAACTAGATAAAACAAAATTCCGCCTTTGCTTTCCATTAAAATAATGAATCTCAATGGAGTATTCTCAGATTTTGTTTCATTTAGAAAACATATACCGGTATATAATGCTTTTGGCCTGGCGCATTGGACGCATAAATCAGGCTTTTGGACATTGTGCTTATGTGTTGTCAATCATTCAAAAAAATTGATTTTCAACAGAGTCCGCTGGTATTATAACCTATACATTGACAGAGGTAGTATTTTCTTTTATAGAAGTGTGCTGTTTTCAAACGCCCACCAGGCCTCCATTAACTACGTCGTCACTTCCTGTAGATATTGTCACTCAAGAAAAAATATCAGATAAAATTATTTTTTAACTCTTTCGTTTGATTGGCAGTCAGATTGTAACTGCCAATATTTTTGCCACAGTAATTCTATACGACAGACCAATGAGAATATATGCACATTGGACAGACTGAAAATGTTAAAGGTATGTATAGAATATTATTACCTATAGTTTTGTAACATGAACGTGGAAAAGAGAGAATAATTTTTCAAATGGTTGGAAAGTATGTGTCTCGTGTCATTCAATTTGGAGGTATTGACGACTAACGCTTGCGATTATAATATTTTACCAGCGACATCTCGTTTGTGATTTGGTGTAAATGGATGATAAATATGTGATTTTTACCCTCGTTCTGTAATACATTTATGCCAACTACGTTGGACTCTCAAAATATCAACATTTGTTGAAATCAAGTGAAATTAAACTTATTAAGGCACCCACTGACCTCAACGATTGTATGTATATATAATAACTTAGTATATAGCCGGTCAACTCGCATTTAAAAAGTGTCAATAGGGTTAACCGAATCCGTGCATATGATTTTCATTTTTGTCTTTTACATTCTGACATCTGTTTTGTGTTTAAGGTAACGATATGTATAAACATTGCGTGGTTGTGTTCTACCTTACATGATACCGTGACTAACGCCTGTGTTAAGCGAGCAAACTGCTTTGGCCTTCTCGTTTGGTTAAATGGCTTTATAAGCAAGAAACTGCTCGGTTTATTGAGCAAATCAAGCGAGGCCTACCTACAGCTCAGTCACAAAAATTCAGCCGGAAGTAAACCGGAATTAGAGATGACTTGCCGACCGAGATGACGACCCACCTACCTGCATAACAGTATAACGCATAATACATTCTATCCTTCGCAGCACCACTGCCAGGTACTGGAAACAACGGATTCTTGGTGATGTTAGTTCGAAGTAGACCGAGACAGATTCCAAGTTTGATTGCTTGGCCAAGTGAATGTGGCGTGTGTGTCTGGTAAGAGGATTATTCAAAATATATTATTATTATTAATATAGAAGAGTCGCCACGAGAAATAGCAATTAATTTCAACTAGAATAGAATTTTGACCAATACTAATAGCTTGAGACATAGTTAGACATGTGTCAACTTTATATGGTACAAAACGCCTTTTGTAAGACGCCAAAAAATCTGCACAGCGTCATATAGGAAAAATACCTTGAAATTACATCTAACATTGGAAAAAACTTGCTGACATGTTCGAATTCTTCGATGTACCGACAAATGGTTATTTTTAAGGTGGAAGGTCATGAATCTATCTATCTTTAAACATAGAGTGCCAAATTGATCATTGCCAATGCATGCAATCACTTATCCCTAGGTATCATTACTCGTATATGCTATACGTAATTCAGAATGACCCTACCTGTTCAAACTCAATTCAAATAAATTGTTTTCACAATTATTTCAATCTTGCATTTGAAATTCGATGTTATGGCACAGCGACACAATCAAAGTTATTTCGTATAACTCGCTAAATTGTAAACTATAATGTAATGCTTTGCATTGTTAGTATTCTATTAAGGTCTTTAAAGTCTATTCATTCATAATGCAGGCGGACGTGATTGTACTCTATGAATCCGGGCACACAATAGAACAAAAAGTACTTCCGTGAATATTGAAGCGCATTAAAACTATCTGGGTTCGTGCACTCAGGACTGTCTGCTAACGAACTGATCAATTGGCGATCAAACAATAAGAATTCTAGTGAGTATTTCACAAGTATGTTGTACCGCAAAATATATATATTCACTATGGTGATTATAATTCTAAGCAGTGACACGTTATATCTGCTTAATAATTGTCATTTCCGGTCACACGGCAAAATGAAACTCTCAGATATTCTAGGCCACAACTTTATTATATATAAATTTTTATAACTCGTACTCTGGCAATCGTTTCAATACTGCAGTATGAGATTTAATTCAAGTACAAGCTGGAGTATTTTAAATGTGTGCAATATCTTGGAAGGTCCGGGACTCAATTATATATAAATTCTAAGTCACCAAAAAAATTTTCGTTGTTTCGATCTTTAATTCTAATTTTGAAACTGACTTCAATTCTGTTTTAATTATACGGTATTTGATTTCAATTTATTATTTCTTACCTGAATATTACAAAATTTATACGAAAGTTAGTATTTACGAATTCAGCGCATCTTAAAATAATACATCCCGACAGGAATATTCTCAGAACGCATAAAAGTATTTTCTGTCATTCATTTTTTCGATCAAAAATATTCTGGAATTTTCAAAATTAATTGTTAAACCTGTCTGACAAACTCTACCACGAAAATACTGTATTGTACTCTTAATTCTCGCGAGTGCCTTTTTTTCAACGTAACTTTGAAAAATAATTGGGATACGAAATTATCAATTTGTATAAAGAGATACTTGAAGTAATCTTCTATTTTCCATTATAACATTTCAAATTATCATCTTTTTGTAATTATCAGATATAATAATCCGTCTTAAGATTCTTCAGAGATTATTGCAAGATAATATTGTTTATTTTAAATCATTGAGTATGTGTGCGATCGAATAGACCACAAAACATGTATAAAAATATTTTTAAATTTGCGTATACAATAGCTGAGTATGAGTAAACTTTTGACATGAAACATTTGGGTGTATGTGCAGCAATGATTATGATTGCGCCCACAAGTTAAATTTCAATTGTTTTTCAAGTGTTGTTCAAAGACTATTCCCTAAAATTAGTTTCGTGAGTGACTGTATTCGGACTGGCGTCTTATTCCGATAGTTTCAGGAATGCAGATATGTTTGTTGAAAACTATTATGAGCATAACAAGGAAGACAAAATGAATTTATATATAAATATCCATTATAATATTCAATATAATTCATAATGAGCAATTCGATGCTAGAATCATCAAATGAAATTTGAACATTTGTTATGTTTAATTACTGAAAACATCTACTATTACATTCACGTTCCGGAATATGGCACTGGAAGAATTCACTGTCTTTCAAACTCTTCTTTAATTAGTCGAATGAATTAAATCAGCGAATTTTTTCGTGCCATTCACTGGAATTTGAACTATCAGCAATAAATGATGTTTGTAGTTTTTGTAATATATTCCAAAAACACCCAAAGTCGTCATCTATATATAGTGGAGATTTGTGATTATTTGTTCGATATTTGATAAAACACTAATCTAATGATAAATAGAAAAACACGATAAGAAATCACCCATCCCTTTGAACTCGTAAAAATGTTTTGTAACCCATACACTAAGTGTGGAGAAAATTTTCAATTTGTAACTAAATTTTTACATCAACTGACCTTGGTTTTGTGTTACTGTAAGAATTTTGTTAATGGGTGATATAAAAAGCCCTCGCCGCCAAAATTGAGCTTTTAGCTTTGTGAATTCAAAAGTTGCACTCACCTATCTATACCTAGTTATACTAGCAAACACTAGTTAACACAAAACCGATCGACTCGTGTTTATATTTCAATTGTATATAAATATCCAGAATATTGACATATTTTTAAAAATACCAAAGAACTCTTTCGACGTAATGCGCATATATTTAAGTTTCTTTCGACATATTTCAACGCATTCTTTTTGTTGCGTGCACTTCTAGGTTTTTAAAATTATCATTATAAAAATACATATCATTACAATGATAACTTTGAAAAGATCATCGCTATGGCGCTTTCATTACTACTGCTTACTGTTGTGCATGTGTATATATGATAACATCTGATTTCAGTATATTTATTCATGTGTCATGGCCAATCTTTCTGGCAGGCCTCAATGCAGTATACAGATGAATTTATTTAAAACGCTGTATATCCGCCCATACTCTTTACTGCGTGTATTGAAATTTCGTGCTACTGCACTCACCATGGTACTTATGAAAAAGATACATTCGGATGCAACAGCCGGATTGCGAAACGATATATGGCGCTCAGCATCGCAGCAAGTTCGTTTTAAATGCATGGAAAATGGGGGCGACATGTTGCGGAGCCCCAAATCAGAATAGGAGCCCATGAAATATGCATGAGAGTGGGAGAGCGTACGAATATCAAATTTTTCTATAGTCATGATTGTCCGGGCTTGAAATAAACCTTGATTGATACATTATATAAGAAGTGGTTTGGGAGATCCATATATTGTTTTCGTTTTTTATGACGTAGCCCTTTATTTTCGTTCTGACTAGCTCTATTCCTCTTTCCGATTCAGGTTTCATTTTACAGAGAATTGAAAAGAAAAGCGCAAATATATCTTACATTTTCACTCTTTCTCTTGCACAAGAATTTACTAAAAGATGAACGGAGGAGAATGACGGATTGGACGACCTTTGATCAGAAATTTGCAGCAGCCATGTCTTTTTTTGCGGCAAAGCAGCCTAGCGTAGTTTCACCACGCTGTGTTAGGTTGTGGTCTTGGGGTAAATACTTATATAATTTATATGTTTGAGAATGATAAATTTACTTGATTTGCTCTCGAAAAATTATAAAATAAGTTATTGTCAGAAGAGCGTATTCTATCTAATCACACGAAGAAGAATTAACAATTGAAGGAACAATTTTCTTTCACAGCATTTGAGAAAATTTGATACAGCAGTTGACCAATTCCCTCAGTCAAGACACCATATCTACGAGTCATCCTTTTGCATGTAGGTTGTTTGGAACCAGGCAGTGAGAAGCAACTAATATTAATTATATTTAAACAAAAATCAATGAACATAGTTTTAATATGATATTTAAGATTCCTTCATAAAAAGATAACATATGCAAAATTTCCAAGACCTTTTTCATAGTTTCGCAGCTGTATGTATAAAAATATTCATATGTAGAAATATTTGTGTTTCGATTGGTCAGCGGAAAAGCGCAGCGGAAGCCGTCATTTTAAACTGTAATTATGAAACTAACGATATAATTTATTCTTTTCAAAATATAATTTGCATTTTAGTTTGACGTGGAAAATAGGTATGTGGGTCTCAACTACTCTACGTTTCAATTAACAAATCCTACTAAATATGTTTATTTTGTAAGATAATTGTGATCCCTAGATAAGTGCGACGTATAATTAACCCTTCAATTAAATATTGTGAAGCTTCTAATATCTCTTATATGGATCTTTACGCCGGGCTTTCTTTGAGGACTTTATCTTCATAAAAATCCCTACTTAAAGAGACAAAAATCGAGATAATCCTCCGAAGTCCAATTAGGGCACGTGTCATTGATGTATAATTTGTGTACTAAACACATATCATGCACTTATCTCTGAGATATATAAGTCTTTGTAAACTTCGATCCAACATCAGTTACCAGGTTCACTTCTACCTTACTCACCTCATGTGAAGACTCGATCGGAAAATGCGAATGCTCCATACGAAGTAAGTAAATTTTTGTATTGACATAAAAAAAAATATTGTAAAAAGGGGGTTTCTATCATGACTTTAAATATTTTATCGCTTCTTTGTGATTATTCTTTCTTATGAATTTTGGCTTTGATGCGTAATAACCGAGCATAAAATTCAAGTCCGTCTTCAAATTTAAATCCGCAAATATGAATTTTCAGTTTAATACACAAGGGAACTGAGTAATTAATGTACATTTCCGTATATGTCAAATAATTTTATAATTCGTGGTTTCATTTCGACCGGCGCACCAGAAAAAGATTTTTGTTTAAATTTCATCAATTCTTTGGACGGTTCTGTCACAAAAAATAATTCATTTGCGCTGTAAGTTTCATCTGATTAATTGATATTCGAACAAACATGATACAACTTTATTTAGTGGGCCAAGCTTGTTCGCGAAATACGCTTCGTAACGATTAAATAAAAGAATGTCTCCAAGACAATCGCAACATAAGGCGAGGCGTTAGTGCAGTTGAGTCACTCGTTCGATTTAATTAAAATATGTCGCTAAACGTACATGTCCAGTTTACAATCCATACAGCAGTCTATTAGGTTGTTTAAATGCAATTTATTTCAGCTTCTCTGAGGACAATCGCGACCCGGGTCGATTTTTCCACGTCGAATATTTTCGCTGCGCGTGCGACGTCCCTATGCAACGTGCTTATCGATCAAAGTGTAGTTATAACCCCTTTCCCACCACCCGTATATTTCCTAGACATCACATAAAGCATATGTCGAGTAAAGGTTAATGATGCCCACCGATCGCAAACTTTACAATAAAATGAATATATTATTCGCTTCGTTAGAGAGTGACCAACAGCTGTGCGCCTCCGCAAAGGTCCAGATGGGGTCTCACGGCTTTCGCTCAAATTGAAAAAAGTAGCCTCCCCTGAAACACAATATTGGGTCTTCAATTATTAATGTTGTCGATTGCAACCCTTCTGTCGCGGTCTTCTCGTCCCATCTAATCCCAGCTGCATTTGCTCGATGCGAAGTACCGATGCAGCAGCAGTGTGTATAGTAATTAAAATAAAGGGAAAGAAACAGCCGACATTTGGTAATAGCAATAGCTCGAATAGCCCAAAGCTTTTTATTCCACATTTTGTGAGTTTGATGAAGGAAGAGGAAGAACTGTTATGCAATTCATACGCAGATACTATTTCACACACGCAATGCATCGTTTTCCGGCATCGGTAGTTAAAACTTACCATACGCTGGCAATGGCATTAGAAATTTTTAAAAGCGTTTATTCTAATCTGTATAGAATATATCACGAGAGGCAGAAGTGAAGATCGTCAAGACCATTTAAAAGAACCGAAGTTGGTCTCGTGCTTTGTCAAATTAACAAGAACTGTGAGTATGCTTTGAGTGAATTTTAGGAAAAAAAATTACCATAATAGCCTAATGACTTGATTATTTGATGGCTTGTACTAAACTGTAGTATGATCGAATAAATTATTGCCGATTGCATAATGAAAATATGAGGTTCAGAATATGTATTTTGTAGTTTTGAATTAGACTCTCTCATGTATATTTCTTCGAAATTTTATAACGTTTAGGCTGTTTCTGTTGTTGTAAGCCCATGCACAACAGCGAACGGACACAGCGACATACTGATTTGTAGATTATGAAATCGGCTTTATTGGAAGAGATTTTATGGTATACCAAATTCAATGCAAATTTTTGTACCCTGAATTACTAATCTCAGCTATGTGTTTTGAAATTTGCATTAATTGCTCATGCCTTTAAACAACGCAAACCATTTTCATACCGACATTGCGTGGGCTATAGAATACCGGAACTGCGTTCTGGTGACATTTTTATAATATATGTGGGAGGAGGTTATCATTGAGCAAATGGGCATTTTCAGGTCCATTTAATAAATTAAATCACCTCGTTTTTGTCAACAATCAAGTCATAATATATGTTGCACTTTAAATATATTCCATTATTATCCAATTTTGGCAAATGCGATACAAAGGGACAATTCTGGCGAATCCGCTTTGTCAAATCTGGCATCGTCATTAGTGAATCGGTGCCACAAGATTGCGTAACTTTGGCAAATTTCAATATTTTTTGCTTTAGGCTAGTGATATGTTCCTATTTTTGTCAATATTTCGAACATATTTGTGATTTTGGACTGACAAAAAACTCAAGTTTTGCGACATATTACGTTGAAAGACAGGAAAACAAAATGGCCGACATTTGAACGTGATTTAGTCGATTCCTCCCGAGACACGATCGATTCGGTGCGAGATTGTCGTCTGCTATTCTGATGCAATTGAAAATTGTTACGTTTCATTTACTAAACTCAAAAATATTATCCAAAAACAGTTCATTTTGAAGCCGATGTTAACTTTTGAAAAAAGTTATATTAAAAGGGTAGGGGCGGTAAATTTAAACGTTCAAAATCTTCGTTTGATATCAGACAACCAGTATTAAATCTTGCATGTCTCTTATCGCGGCATGTTATGCATGAATTTAACAAAAAATGGAATAAGTAATGAATGAAATATAGAACATAGTATGCTTCTCACTTATCCAATAATACAATGATATCGAGATCCATTTCTCACCGACTGGTTAACGCTAAAGTGATTCAGATTTTTGAATATATACGGAAGCGTTGCATCCGTCGCACTTTCGGAGATTGTTTTGTTAATGTTCCCATTGAATTTTTACATCAAGATTCACGCTATTCGATGATAGGCCGTAAAAAGTAGCAGGGAACACTCGTGACTGAAACGGTAAAATGTTATGATTGCATTTCATGATTAAGTTATACACTATGATTCAAAGATTTTTCGGTTTATATATTGATATTAGATACCGGTAGAGGTGACGAAATTTCTTTGATCTTCCTGTATCCCACCAGTGTTATAATAGTAGTTCTGTAAAACCGTTTGAAAATGTACATATATAAATACATATAAACCAATATTCAAAATTTAAACGGGTGTATTTGTCAATTTATTTTAAAATATTAGCGAAAAATTGTATATTTATCTCATATAAATTTTTGTATAAGGAATAATTCACATTCGAATGATGTAATAGTATCAATCGTGTTATGACTTTGTAACAAATTATTCTGGAACAATTAAGGTACGAGTGAGGCCAATATTGCCGTCGAATAACAAATAAAATACCGTGGCATCATATTGTCGACCTCTATTGATGCCACGTTGATAAAATGCATTCAAATAAGTTTTTATTGAGACGCTACAATCATATAATCAAAATCTCCTCTCTGATATATATTAACGATCTTTATTTGAATATATTGGTGCATTGAAATTTTATATTACGCAACATTTTGACAGTGCGCATTCGGTGGTGTATATATACTGTATAAGCTCAAATTGAAATAATAAATTTGTGCCTTTTGTTTTGCCATGCTTCGCAAAAATCAAAGTATGGTGATGTTTGAAGATTCTGTGTTTAATTGTTATTAAATCTGAGCTTCTAATAAATACACACTAGGCTTTACATATCGGTGCTTGAATAATTTTATACTTATACTTTTTGAATCAAGTGACATAATTTGTTTACCCCTATTTAGTCAACCCATATCAATCGGGGTCATCAATGGACAAGGAAGTGCGAATGCGGAAGAGGAAAATATTACATGCGATGCTGCAGGTATTTGGTAATTACAAAAGCACTATTACTATTATAAATTGCATATACGGCCGCAGGTAGGCTTGAGTTATACACATACAACATCCACGGTGTATGATAAGCATTAGGCATCTCACCTAAAATACATATAACAATAGTTTCATCAGGTTTTCCAGTCACCTGTACGAACAGCCGTAATATCGCTCTCTAGTTTGCCTATGTCGGTAATATTCTATTTCACTGTGCGTCACCGGTATGGTTTCCCTGTTCTAGAGGTGGATTTGCGTACATGCATGCAATGTTGACGTGAACAAAGAATTATATAAACAGGGAAGGATGTGTGCTCTCTCTGCTACCACCTATTGCAATTAACATTAAACAGCCAAGCAGAGATTAGAGATTCGTCGTACAATATGCAGCAAACAATAAAGAAGAATATCTTAGATTGGTGAATGTTATAGATTTCGAAATAAGGTCAGGGCGAGATAAGTGAAGGAAGATTGATTTTTCTATACCAGGTTACCGAATGTGCTATCGAATTCTTTGCAGGGCGGTATGGATTCGAAAATGATCTCATTGTGCTGGATAACATTGGTAAAAAAAATATAAAAGAATAATTTGTTCACGGTGGGTGCACAATTTTTTTTTAGTATTTCCGAGCAGAATATGCAAATTTTTGAAATATATATCAGATTTTATTGAAAACTATCTTTTGTGAGAACAACTTATTTAATGTCTAGTGCTCCGAGCTCTCTGGCAAACAAAGATGTATTCTGATTGAGAACAGCTGTAAAACCGTTGGTTATCGGTTAGAGTAGTTTTCTTTTACAGCACATCAACTCAATCATATCATATTAGTAGCGTTCCGTTTGGCACTAGCACATTATTGATATATTTGCAGTTTGCACAGCGGTGCCTGTGATGTACAAAAAATCAATTATGGGTCTGTGCCAAGTAGAAAGCTGCCAGTGATCACCAGTTTACATCTTATTTCAGCATGGGTAATGATATATATACTATTTTTATACACTCCAAACTTGAAGGAACCATCAAACGAGGAATGGTTCTTGGCAAAATATAGAACTCACATTGGATATATTTATATAAATATGGTTGAACCAGTGGTCCTAATCTTGCCAAACACTATGTCCTCGTCCTGTCTTCATGAGCCAGATGCCTATCTATAGTCGGTTGTTAGAATAATGAGGGTAAGTTCGACAGGGTTTTGCTGTGTGCTGCTTCGCCCAATTTTTTCGAATACTGAATACGTACGTCAGTTAAAATCAAGTTTCGATTATTATTAAATATGATCATGTAAAAGGTCATTAGGCTGTATTCTCCCTTCAACTTGCCGCAGTTGTACGCATTGTTAGTACAGCAATAGAAATTGTGCTATTTGTATTGTATAGTGTTGTATAGTATCAATATATGATTTTATTTGCGTACCTCTCTGACCAAAAAATCATCGTTGACAGTTCTGATCATTTTTTCCAGCATTTTTTCTAGTTGTAAAATAAGAAATTCTGAGGTATTGCGGTCTCTACTATACCGTATATATATATATTATGATTTTGTGTAAATCCCCCTTTGAAATTAACATGTGGAGATTTCCATAGGAAGTCGGAGTGGGTGTCGATCGGGTAATTTCTGACAAGCTCAGTGGCAACGCCAATGTTGGCTTGATGAATGAATAATTTTTTAACAATAAAATCACAAGACTTTTTTCCGATACAGAAAAATTTTCATAATACTCATTCATATTATATTTTGTGAGCGTTTCCACATTCTATTTGACATGCCTTAGATACCAACGTTGCAGCCCACGTCTGTTACAACCTATTTTGGCATGCTATCTCGGTCGTATAGTAAACTGTCACATTTGAAAAATAATGGTTTTTCTGATTTGATAAAATTGCTTGCTAATTAGGTTAATATTTCAAAACCAATCCCATTCTACCTAAAAATTGAGGTGAATTATTTGTATACTGGAAAACTGCCGATCTTTCATGAAAGTATTCGACTATCGGTATAAAGTATAGGGAATATTTTAAGCTCTCATTTCTTCTCAGTAGATCAAGATGTCGTAGCGTAATTCTACCAAAAATGTCTGAAGATTTTTACAAACTTTTTTCATAAATGGTAGAAGATAATATGCAAACCCTAAAATGATTTGAAAATCGGTAAGATTCAACGGGTGCAATTCAAGAGTTCAAAAAAGAGAAAGGGGTCTGTTTATGTTGTAGTTAGTTATATTTTTCTGCTCAATTTTCTTAAGGTATCGCATGTATTTACTCGCCACATACATTTTTAAATGAGTGCATAACGCCATCAGTTCAGACGCCTTCAATTCTATATTATATATATTTCTCACTCCCAGATGCCCCGCTGTCACCATATACATTAAAATGATGAAAATGAAGGGGTTTCATCCTTTATAAATATGTGTGGTCAGTACCGAGTAGGGAATTGAAACATATCGACCATTTTGAGTGTCATTTCGTAACCTTTAGTCTGTGGTTTTGTCCATTGGCAAGGTTGGTTAAACAATTTTGAGAGTAGAAAATCTCGTTTAACGCTTCTCGCCAATTACAAATACGCATTTCTAGCTACATTCTTTTAAAGGTCATATATACCCACAAGCCTACTTGCTGGTTGAGCGAAATCACAAATTTTGTGGGTCAAAGTTCAATTTTTTGCCCAAAATAAAGCTGTCAATGGTATTTATATTTCGGTCAAAAAGGGGGAAAATTGGTTATAATTGATTGAAAGTGCAATTGTTTTATAAGTAACATCTGTTTGAAGCAGGAAACGGTGGAAATGACAAGTGAAACGCTTTTAAGTAACAGTTTGCACAAGCCAGGAAACGATGGAAGGACGTGAAAAAACAAACATTGTTTTGTTATTTCATATTATATACAGCTATACCTATTGTCTATTCTTTTACTTATTGGTATAAAGGTCTTTATTCATACTTCCACAAATTTTATTCTGTAACAGGTTGAACTGTTTATTGCGTTTCAAAAAAGAGTTTGTGAAACATTGTGAAGAAATACATCTATAGAACAAAGTATAAGTAGTCTATGCCCTACTTTTGTACTCCTGTATCCTTGCAGTGTATCCTTGCAGTCAAAAATTGAAATGACTTTAACTGTTTCCAATTTGTCACTGAATGAATAGAATTAAGAGTGAAAACGTAGGTTTTTATAGACTAGTGAAACTCCAATTTAAAATTGTTCACTGGCCTGGATTATTTCGGAACACTGTCCCCTCAGCGAACGGTTGTCTGACAACAAGATATAAAAAAAATATGTATATATATATATAAGATTATTCAGGTCCTGGTCGAGATCGCCAGGCGTCAGCTTGAGTCAACACTCACTAGCTAGACTGACTTATCGTGACTCGAAATTCGCTATCAGGGTTCTTACAAGAGGCTGGTGATCGTAAAGTAACATGGCGATTTCATTCCGGGTAGGATAGTATTGCAATACCGTACAATGTGAACCCGCGTTACTTTCGTTTAAATATTTTCTTTATGAATTTTTAATGGGAAGTAAGCAGGACCACATTTTCAAAAGAGAAAATAAAATAACGTGATGTTTCGTGTTTAATAGAAGAGAAAGAGGCGATTCACAGACAGATAGACAGAACAGGTGTTCTGCCGGATCTGTCGTTCAACTTATTTCTCATTTGAATTATTCAGTATAACTTAAAACGGGAACCGCACCGGAAATCACCACCCATTCAAAATTTCTGTTTGTCTGTGGGAAAATAAGCGACACAAACTGTGGGTATCATTGTCGTTAACTTTTACTCGAAACCAGATCTGCCACAAATCCTATTTCTAAAAATATGTGACACGGAAAACGTATTTTTGTGGTCAATAAACTTCATAAGAAAAAAATTGGTAAAGTAAAATGATTTATTTCTATGAGTTCTACAACGTTTCTAGCTACCAAAATTTTAATCCGGCTTTCCAATATTGTTACCGTTAATAGTACACGAGCGCGAAATCTGGGCATCAAATTATTTAAATTTATGTTGAACTGCACCTAAAGCTGTATACCACCCATGATTACTAAGACAAAAAAATAAAGAATATGTTGTACTTCCCCGACTGGCGATATTATACGTCGACGTGCCACGGATTGCCCACTCTAATATGGGTGGCAAATATTCAGCACGTAATTATTGCAGTCTGTGTTGCAGCTACACAGTCTACATAACGATGCTCTTTCCTGGGCAAACAAGTTGGCCATGCATTGTTTTAATGTTAACTTTAAGAAATGTCACCTAAAACTGATCATCAGACTCCCACCATAAAGCAGATATACGAAGTGAAATTCCCAATACAGATCTTATAAAAAAAAAAGAGACCTGACAACTTGAATAGGCCGCCAACTAACTTGCTTGTGCTCTCATCGAATTCAGCTTACCATAATAGGTACTCAGTCATAACATACATGATATAAAGTATATTAATGCTCCATTCAAAACAACGTCATTGGTGTCACAATACCAAAGTGAGTGAAAAAACAGGAGAAACACAAATGTATACAAGATAAATGAAACTGATGAAACGCTTGTGAATACAGAAACTATAACTTGGTACTTTAACATTAGAACAATACAAGAAACAGCATAAAAATACAGTAATCTGCTAGTTCTAAAAAAAACAGGTAAGAACTTACTCCAGCGAACTAAGGACTTCTACGCAAGGATTCCTCAATTGAACCATTTCGAAGTGGTTTGTGGCAGACCAGTAGGTTCCTGCTACTACACTTTTGATCAATTCTTGTGACTCTGCTTTGAGTGATTCTGCATGAAAAGGCGTCGCTGGATATTTTGTTTGGTCCTATATACTTTCACATAACTAACCGCATTGTGTTTTATCATAGTGCAGGATTGTTTTTTTCCAGACTTTTTCATATCATGTCAAGTAAAAGCAGCTTCTCATTGACCATGACTAGGATAGTCACTTTGGCAATTTTCAATATAGCTAAAATTATCCTAGGCGTCCTTCCGCAGCTTTGTGTCAACCATCCACCCTTAAAGAGCCTAGATTTACATCAGTAGGCGAGTCTTGTCCTGTATCAATCTCAATTTCATTATTGTGATCTAAACGATGTGTCGTGATTCTACGAACTGTTCCGCCTAAGTTGGCTCCCTGAAAAGAGATATGTTAAAGATAAAAAAGAGCTGGGCTTCTCGACATCGCAGGGTGGCATTTATATAATACCTGCTTGGTTACAACTTACTTTATAATACATGTTATTGCATCGAACACATTCAACTGGTTAACATTCCCATACCCGATATAGACCACAGAGGGCGTGGTTCATCAAATAATTACTCAATTTCTTCCTTTTGTCTCAGGACAATATGGAAATCCTTACTTACACATTTGTAAAAAGCATAAGGCTTCTTGCCATGCTATTGTTTGAAATTAGGAATGCCGAGACATCGTATATTACAACAAATTGTAACCACAAATAGAGCACATTTGAAAATTCTTGATTTCGAATATCTGAAGGAATCTTGAAATAGTGTTTCGTTGGTTTTCATTACATTGACATTTCCTAATCTTATGCATGATATCATGGGGGCTGTTATCAGACTACAGTAGTAGTATTGTAGTATTGCAAGTAGCATATCATACACAGAGAATCAAGTGAAAGTTAAACACAAAATAAAAAAAACGTTAATCAAAATAATATCTATAAAGAATGCTTAGGGCATCATTTGCAAATAATCCCATGCATTGGGTCACAACTACATTTATCTCTGATATCTCATTAACCTTGCAGACATGGGTATTTCACGGTCAACAATCAAAAAAATACTAGTCATTTTATGCATATTCTACAAGAGTGGTTTATTGAAATACAATGCAAAATCAAATTACCTGTATACTGTTGGCAATTTTTTCATATACAGAAACAGGAATTTGTACCATAGCTGAAATGAAAAAAGTTGAAGGTTTATTCATTTATAATTCACAAAATACAACATGTACTGCTATGCCAACTAGGGGTTGGTTTGTAAAAACAAAATAACACTTACCAGTCGATCCATGCTCATCAACAGCATCAGCTGTCGTAGACAAAACAATCTGGCTATCTGAAGGTATCCCGGTGTTTTGCAATGTTGCCACAGCCTATGAAATATCATTAACGCTCTGTTTAAATGATTTAACTAGAAAAAATCAATTGATCAACTATACCAGGGATGTCCAACCCGCGGGAAGAATTCGTGCGGCCCACTTGAAGTTTTTATAAATATTGCGACGAAGTCGCAAAGTTGTTGAAATCATTTAAAGAGAGATTTGCTTATTTACGAAATTCGACAATCTCTTTAAAAAAATTTTATGTGTTTATTTTACATTCGAGTAGAAGATGCCCCAGAATACATGCAACTTGTATTGATCCAGTCAAAAACGGAACTGAAAACCTTGTTTCAAAGAAATAGAAAACTTGAATTCTACAGTCAGTATATCGATGGAGATAAGTTTCCCAACTTGAGACAAATGGTGATGCGTATTCCGGCGACATAGGAACAACATATTTGTGCAAATCTTTTCTAAATTGAAATTATGAAGTCGAAGAATAGGAGTAAGCTGACGAGTGACAATACAACCAGATACGTTGCGCGGTATCAAAACTACCTGTTGATATTAAACAGTTGCGCAATGACATACAAAAACAAGTTTCGCACTATTTGGAAAAATATTGCTGACATTTTCTATTTTTTATGCCGATGTATATTATTGCTTAAAAATTTTGCATTTTGCGTAAAAGTTGAGTTGAACTTCATGGTCCTTGTGTGCATGTTGTGTTCAGAAATCCGCAGAAGTGTTATGCAGTGTTAACTCTAAGCAAATTATGAGTGCGAAAGTGCTTCGCAGTCCAAAAAAAAAGTGCGAAAGTGCTTTTGCCGATTTTAACAAGTTAGGTGCCCTAGCCTTTCATATAACCCATTTAAAACGGCATAGATACTCGAAAAAGCGCTCCTCCGGTTAATATTATGAATTAAAGAGAAGCCTTTTCGTTAACGAGTTCCCTTTAAGCGAATTCATGTTTAGTTAAAACAAGCGAATTCATCGGCAACGAAATGACATCTGCTAACACCTGCCACAGACAAAACTTTCATGCAATGTATCAGGGTGTCAGTTGCTTACTCGCGTAAACAGCAAAGACTTTCACATTTGTTACTCCTTCCATCTAACAGACAGGAGGCCGGCTGGAAACCATATCAGTTACAGGGTGGATCGTTTGTACAAATCCGGTGCAAAATAATCCCCCCCCCCCCCCAAATATAAATAGCAATCAACTAATTAGGGTTAGGTGCGCTGGAAATTCAACTTTTCGATTCATCCCCAAACCTAATCTGATAATTATTAATTTGTGATTTTGAACCACTTTGAAAGTCGCCACCCGCTGTTTTAAAAGATAGGTTAACCTACGTTCCCTCCGAAATATTACGCAGGATACTCCCCTGTTTTAGGAGATAGGTTGACCTACTTTCCTTTCAAACTTTTTTTTCCGAAATATTACACAAGATCACTTTGAAAATCCTCCAGTTTCGTGAGCTAGCGTGACCTAATTTCTCATTTACATTTATATTATACTATTTCAGAGCTTACCCAAAGACAAGTAATTTTTAAATGTCCACATGCCTTGGTTTGCGTGCGAGTTAGTTTAAATCGGGCAGAAAACATCATATATTGGCAAAATGTTTAGTAATGTCATGTACTTTCAGCATTCATAAATAGGACTCTTTGTAATGCTGCTGACCTAGTATCAAATATTCGCATCACAACGCCACTTGCGAGGTTTCCATATATTTCAATTACACTAATAGGAACGATGACATCAAAGAGTTTTCTTTTGCGAAGGTACACTAAATATAACGAGGGTGATTCTTGAGAAAAACATGAATATAAAAATAAACGAATGATATGATAATGGATCCCAAATAATTTTGAGAGTGTCTCGAAATACCAAGCCATTTGATAAATAATTTTTATTCGACCACATGCACAAATCTCACATTAATAGTAATTGCTACCCAAGTTTGTAAAGTTTAGAAACCAACAAACAGAAAATAACTATCCTAAAACACAATTAAAATTCAGTCGGAATAAATTCGTCGCCAAGACGATGCCATACAAAACAAAAAAGATTTGGTCGCGAGAGTTACGTGAGATGACTGCCGTTGTTTTTTAAGCAGAATGTAAAAAATTTATAATTAATAAACGGGAGTTACGACGCCCTTTACACATCTGTGTATTAAACTTCCCTGGTAGTACTTTGGTAAGTACTATTATTGTACTATACACCTGTTGGAGTATTTCGGACAATTTCGAATTTAAAATAAATGAAAACCCGACATATAATAAAGACGCAAAAGTAAAATGAACATTTATTGAAAAAGTTATTATTTAAGAAAGACAACATGATCGTACAATTCCGCCAAAACCTCGATGTTCGCAAGTGAGATGATAAATAAATACTTCCCTGTATTCGATCAATTAACTTTAGCGTATCGTTGTTCTGCCAACAAACAGCCGGGTGCAAAATATTTCCGTCCTGTGATATGCTCACAAATATTCTCGATATTAATATCATACCCTCGCGTATGTACTTTCTATTAGCTCTTTAGTGATCCCTTCCATCCTTGGCCAAGTCATGTTTCGAATATGTGAACATTTTATTCGACCATACATGGCCGGCGGGATGTTAAAATTGTAAACAAGAGAGAGGTAAAATCAATCGCGAATTTCGTTATAACGGCTCGTTTACGAATTGTTGCGCCTGTTATCGTCGAAAATGATTACATTTGTTGTATTTTGAGGCATTTAAGCAGAAATAATTAGGGCATGACATCATCAAAATCGTCAAGTGAGATCTTGAAATTGCAAATTCCGTAAATAAAATTGTGAATTATTCGGTAACGAATTCAGCTTTAATGACCGTCGGGGTATTGTTTTGTTGAAAATTATTATTAATGTGAGAGCGCCAAAAACATACAGTCCATACCGATGCGACTGCAATTTATATGGTCGCAATTGGTGTGGCGCGTTTATTAATAGTGTAAAAAAATTAACGAATATCAATTATAACCAAGCCTGTCAGCGTGTTTATTTTCTGTGGGCAGGAATCGTAAAATACCATCTTGAGACAAATTCACTTCTATCATAAAATCTTAATCGTATATATCGTATAATAAAATCGTAAAAAAACCGCCCCACACTCGTCCAAACGTGTGTCGAGCTTGAACGACAGGAACAGATTCATCGACGACCTTAATTAGGGAAATATGTATTTTATTGGGAATGCAAAATAAATGTAACAAAACGCATTTTTTGTGATATAACTTTGTATTTTCGGAAACGGGTTGCCGTGAAAGGTAAAATTTGATCTAAATTAATCGCAAAAATGTTTTATTTTAAATGTAACAAAACACATTTTGCGATATAACCTTGTATTTTCGAAAACGGGTGTCCTGAAAAGTAAAATATGATCTAAATTAATCGCAAAAATGTTTTATTTTAAATGTAACAAAACACATTTTTCGAGATACAACTGTATTTTCGGATACCGGGTGTCATGAAGAGTAAAATATGATCTGAATTAACGGTAAATAATGTTTCATTCCAAATGTATCATAACGCTTTTTTGCGATATAACTTTGTATTTTCGAAAACGGGGCGTCACGAAAATTAATAATCTAATGTTTTATCTATCGTCTAACTAACGTCTGGAACACATCATTTTCGGGGAGAACTCTAGCCCGCGAAACGTCATTTAATTTAAAATAAAGAATGTTTCACGCATTTCAAAACGGAAAATCACCAGTAAGTGGACAGGGATTCAACCCTCCGGATTCAGTATTCTATATCCCGTGTCAGAACTTTCTGAAGAATGAACAAAGAACCCGTCAAACCGCCGCGGAAGAAGGGAGTATTTTTTGCACTAATACTTAGGGCATGACAATATCAAAATCGTCAAGAAACTGGTGAATTTGCAAATTCCATGAATAAAATTGTGAATTGCTCGGTAACATTTTAGCTATAATTATCGCCGGGGTATTGTTTTGTTGAAAACACGTTGAAACTTGAGGGAATTAGTTACAATTAGCGCCTGACCTCTATTAGGCACTCGAGCACTCGAAAAAAAAAGCACTCGAGCCCAATCTTTTTAGCATTAAGTCGCATACGTAAAATATCCTGTAAAAGAAGTGCTGTTCATTAACGCCATCTCGTCTTATGACCACGCAGAAATGCCTTTATTGCCGAATTATTCAATCACTATTTTAAATCAACATTCAGGATTGGCACAATTTCAGGTTCACGGTATGGACAATAATATTACCATTCCCATAAAATTGGGACGGTAAATTTACAAATCTTGATAGGTAATATTAAAGCCAACGCAATTGTTAATTTGAGTCCTCAATGTCTTCAACAGCTGTTGCCCATGTGAACGAACGGGTAAACCCGAAATATAAAACTTTGATGACCGCCGACCCACAAGAATTCATATTTGTAAAAAGGAGAGGGCGGGAATATAGATTACCCAAAACCTGGATATCGCCGCCAAAACGATCGGTGACAAGAACAATTAGCCATTACAACGGAATTAACCAGTAAAAAGGCTTTATTGCCGATTTTTTAATGTTTCCACCACGTTTATTCGGTACTCCTTAAAAATATTCGATTCAAAAAAATATTGAATTTTGCCCACCTGTCCTCGCATATCAATGAGGAATAGTTGTGTAAATATCGCAAAATTCCGGAAAATGCCACGTCCTTTCAACATTGTGATTACAATAAAATGGCACTTAATGGTATTTTGTGAATTTGGTGATTTTGCAAATCTGTGACATGCTGCTAAAAGTTTCGTCTGATTTGAAAATCGTGCAGTTTGGTCACAATTCATCCAAAGTGACTATAACACGTTACTAACACTTTTATAGTCATTTTGAATTCATCGATATCATTGATAGTCACATGACCTTCAAAGAAACGCACTGCCTAGTATTCCAACATCTGGTTTCAAACACCCCGGAGCGTTTTTTGCGGGAGAAGCGGAATCGGTGTGCTTGTATAATAATCATATTATAAACAAGAATTTTGCCGTTAATGCAAAAGCTTTATCTCCTTTGTCTGCATCTCATAGGTTAGAATTCCGATAAATATCGTTATGATATGCAGAATTGAGTTACAAAAGTACTAGTATGTTACTTATTTGTCAACTTAATACTCGAAAATATTTGTTAATTTTGAATTTTTATTCCATTCAAAATCGGAAAAAAGTGCTTTTTCTCTTCAAAATCGGAAAAAAGTGCTATTTCGCAGTCCCTAAAAAAAGTTGCGAAAGTGTTTCGCAATTTTCGCAAAAAAGTGCGCTAATAGTGAAGACTGGTGTTATGCAATCCAGGCGTTTGATTTAGCGACGCTGAAATTCAACTTAAATCAGAACTGGGATGGTATTTTAAGTTTGGTAAAAACGTTTGCGGCCCGCAATGAATTTCCTTACATGAAGGTGGCCCGCGACACTAAAAAGGTTGGACATGCCTGAACTATACCAAATTCTAAATATCTGAACATCAATCATTAAACTCAATCCATTAAAATTGGGCTATAGCAAAGAGTAAGCCTAGAAAATCATATTTAAAAAGTTGACAGCAGAGAGCATAACCCCGCTAGACAAAACTTGTATTACATATAATAGGATTCTGTTTTTTTTTGCTGCTATGACTCTCGACTTCATCTCATTCGAGCACTTTGGTGAGGAAGGTAGCATACAAATCCAGCATTATTGATACAACAGACAGCGCTTATGCAATTTGATCACAACACATCTTGAAAAAGTTAAGATGCAACATTTCAGAATCGAATCAATTTTAATATTCATCAATCATAATCTATTTTCTATTGAGTGATTGGTTAAAATAGATTTTCTTTTTTCTATTCAAGCTACATACTTCGATCTATCCATGTATTCATCAGGCAGCAAGGCCTGTATTACCTGTCCATTACTATCAAATGTTATTCCTATTGTATGAGATGTTTGTTGGGGTTGATGGTGATGATGGTGCTGATGTTCAACAATTGATTCCTTTGATATTGCATTGATTGTTGTATTGGTTTGATTGATTATCACCTGGAATCACAACTCAAAGATGAAACTTAAAGAATGTACAAAACCATGAATATTTCTGATGCTAATGTAGTGTTGATACAGAAATAATTTGGTAAAATATAAAAGCTTCCTCTCTTGGATCATTTAAAATACATAAACAAACAATTACGACCCGAAAAAACTGACACGGAATAAAGAGACCAGGATCATTGTAAATTTCCCTCCTCAACATCTCCGCAAGACAACTGGGATTGAACCAGAGACCTACCGACCTGCAGTCGAGTGCTCTACCACTGAGCTATGTCCCCGCACCTAACCTTGAATGAATTTCAATAGATATTGATGAGTTTGCCGTTTGCATTTTCAGATTTATCACGCATAATTATTCTATACCTGATGTTGTTCTTGGTCAATTGTCAGTTGATTGATATTTCCAGGACTTTCTGCCACTGTACCAATACCAGATATTCCCTGTTGATTTTCGGGAGTACCGATTGACCACTGTCCATTACTGACCTAAAGTTTGACATAAATATGCTAACATCAGAATTATTGATTCAATATCTCGTTTGAAAGTAGCAAATCGACTTTACGACTACCTACCTGGTGCATGGTCACAGCCAAAGGTCCTTCTGATCCATCCTGTGCAGTCAATGTTGCAACAGCTTGTCCTGTTTGATCTTGGGTTATTGTTGCTATTGTTTGGCCAGAATCAAGCTGAAATGAACAATTAATTAGCTGTTTAGCACTCTTCATAACATTATCCTATGGAAATGACCAACGTGGCTTGAAGCCATGATTCAGTATCAAACTTTGCTAATGTAGTTTCTGTGTTACAGTGTTAAGTTGAATAAATTAGCAACTTTCATTTAACATTTTATCAACGCTAATTTTTACAAAAAATTCAAATCAATACAATAAAAACATTCAGTAATCAGGACAAAATAATCATTTCAAACCTAATTTATACAATTTAGGGTGGCAATGACAAATTTTTAGCTGATTGAATAACTAATGCAATAATAATACCTGGACTAAAGATACTGATCCATCAGAATTCTGTACAGTTTGCACAAGAGTTGGAGGAGTCATGTTCATCTGAGCAGTATTATGTTGTTGTTGCTGTTGTCGAGCGGAAGCAACTCCACAAAATTTTTCTCTGAACAAAAGTATCAAAATCCAGTCAATATCAATACATTTATTTACAGCCGCTATTCATAAATTAAAATTTGAAAAACTCAAAATAGGGAAATCATTCGGCGCTCAAGAAGTATGTGTACCAATATAGAGGTAACTAATTTTGTTCGTCTATTTTACATCAAGTTGTGCAAAGGGACTGAAACTTATGAGCAAGGGCTAACACAGACAGTCACCGAACTCGTAATGTAATAGAACTAAAATAAGGAAAATCAGAATAAAATTATGACCTAACCCTGACCTGGTACACATACTACGGGAGTACTAATCATTCACCTGAGAACAAAGAGACATTTCTGAATATTAATATATTAAATACACAACTCGTCAATGCCTAGACATTCATATTTAAATGACAGACACAATAAAACTCTTGCCGACAATATTTTTATAAAATCATACACCAGATTCATTCGATCTCCTTGGGAATTTTCACTCGGAAAACATTGAAGTAAATCATCTCTGCCATGATACTTGTAACAGTTTTTAACAATTTGTCGCAAAGCCGTTGTCCAAGACACCTACAAAAAGAAACAATAATATTCATGATGATGCTAGTACAATTTTAACATAAAAGGCTTGATGGTGCACAGTTCTTGGGGTGTTTGCGTAACTATGTTTCGCCAACACCCTAGATCAGTGGTTCTCAACCTTTTTTTCCGAGGCCCACTTTTGGTGCACATGAAAGTTTGTGACTCATTAATTTTCTCATACATGGGGAAAATTTACAGGAAACACAAAAAAATTCTTTCACAAAGATAGACTTCCACTTTAATAATTGAAATGAGAATTACCAATCAGTAGCAAAAACAGCATCATCATTCATTGCTACTACAATGAAAGTTTAACTGATTTATCAATAACTCGAGCAATTTTTAATAGGCCCCCTGAAAATGTTTCTGTGGCACAGAACAGGGCCATGGCCCACTGGTTGAGAACCGGTGGGCAAATATCCAGAGTACAAACAAGCTTTTGTTACTGGTAAGTACAAAGTAAGTACAAGTAAGGGTTAGCCCTATTAAATCCATATAATTGTCTAGAGCCGTGTTCAAGCATAGATTTGAAACATCTTGTCATTTTCAAAGTAATGCAAGCCTAATCCTTAAGAGTAATCCAATCTTTGCCTAGGAATTTACCTTAAGTTTTTGGTCATCAGTGCGAACATCACGTCTCACATTTGCCCATGGAACATCCAGCGGCCACCATACAGGTCGTGTTGATTCCCTTCCCCAACCTGGTTTTCCTCTTCCAGTTGAATATTTTAACATCTCCGGAACAAACATACGAAGTTGAGCCTGAATACAACAGAAAATAATTGATAAAAGTAAGAACGATTATTTTGTTAACATAAACCGGAAAAACTAATGTTAATAGACACGAAACACGAAGTGCATCTATGTACCGTTTTGTTAAATTTATGTTGTTCTTCTACTTCTTGTTAGTGTGAAAAATTTGTTTAACTTCAACTACTGGACCAATTGTTTTGGAATTTTCAGTGGTTGAAGATTGTCGTTATCGATAGAAAAACTTTAATTTATTTCAAAAATTCCTATGGTATTCGTTTTTCACTTCAAAGTTTTGTGTGACGACGCCACCAAATGTAAAACTCGCGCACCATGTGGCGGTTCTGCGATTACATTTAAGCAAACTAGCGGTCAGCGAAGTCGGGAGTTTTTTGGAATACACCGGTACTGTACAATATTCCAGACCACTTTGTCTTGGCCTTCGTGTAGGTCTACATATATTTAAAAAAGGAAATATTCTCAGTAGTCTCAAAGTATTTTTTTTAAAGGCAAACAAAGTCGTAATCTCTTTCACAATCATAATTGATTTTGAATTAAGTCATGGAGGTTCACAACAATTACAGCGGTACCAGCTCGAGACATAACAGCAGTACTCTATTTAAGTGAATATATCAGGAGATAAAGCTGTAACTGCGCATGAAAGTACAAAGCTTCCATTGACACCTAGGTGATCTGTCTTTTGATAAGGTGAGACAAAACAGACTAAAATTAGTTGAAAGGAATTCCAATACGTTCAAAAATGCTTCTTGCCTGATTCATCTTTTCCACAGGAGTAGGAATGCCATCAATGATTAGAGCAGGAAGTTCAAATTGATTTTCTGAATTTCTTCCAGCTGCTGCAGGAGCTTGCTCTTGTAAAACTCTTTCTAAATCACGAAGAATGAGATTCTGACAACTTCTCAACTAAATACAAAAGCATTAGGTTAGAAATTTTAGAACTTCTTATGAAATAAGATCGACATGGAAGATTACAAAAGACGAACGTTCAAAATGAGCACAAAGAACTAAATTTTTTTCATTTAATAATAATTAATTTAAATAAGTATTTTTTGGAGCGGTGAAAAAAAGTCTGAATAAAATTGAAAATAATAGTTTTCTAGATAACACCAGACTCTACCTTCTATTTTTTACAAACCAATAAGTGATTGATCCGATAAATTAAGGATAATGTACTAACAACAAAACAACTTGAAAAAAATCTTTAGGTCAATTTCTCTTTATTTGAATCGAATGAAAATCACGAGAAAAATATTACAGCAATGTGGGCACAGTGGCCTGGTTGGCAGGATGGTTAAGGCATTAGACTTAACTATGATGGCATCACAGGTTAAACCACCTTACCCAGGGTGTAATGAATTGGGTAGGCAATGCCGAAAAAAAAAGTATAAGCTATAGTAGCTTCTTACCTAGTAGTGGCCACTTTTTCAGAGCCTTGTTCAGAGTGGAAGACATATTAAAAAAGTGAAGTTTTCATCCCTGAACAAGTATGTCATACACTAACAAAGGGTATGACAAAAAAATATTTTTACCACTTGATCCAGAGGTGATGCGCCAAATACTTTAAAACTGGGGTTATCTTTTCCAGGTGAAACACACAATAACACTGCTTGTTGTCCACATCTTGTGCAGAATTCATGCATTGTATGCTTCAATTTTCTGTTATAGAAATATATATTTAATCAAAACGGAGGCAAAACAACTTTGTATAAAAGATAACATTTCGTTAAAAAAACATTGACTTTACTATATTCTTCGATGTATTATATTTGGAACCAAAAATTGGATCAGGGAAAGGTTAGATCAATAATATATAAAAATTTTAATGAGAAATTCACTGCACTTTAGCTGTAATTGAATGAAATTGTGTAAAAAAAGACATAGTCCATCACCATGAATAAATTGAAAACAATAAGCTTCAGATTGAAAATTTCACACATTATAAATTATCTTTTGCAAACCGTTCAAAAGCCAAGAGTTCGATTTTATCATGCACTAGCTTACAATCCAATTGAAGATTAAACAACTAATGGAGTTTTTATGAAAACTCAGGGATATATATTCGACCATTGTTCTAGTGCAGTGGTTCTTAAACTGGGGGGCGCGCCCCCCTAGGGGGGGCGCGAGAAGATTTTAGGGGGGGCGCGAAAGATTTCAAGAAACCACACTTGAGACTTTATTTTGCTTAGCCAATTTAATATTTTGAAATTTCATTTAACTCGTCGTCTTGTTGCTTTATAATTTTGTGTCGTAAAATGATGCAAAATGACTCTTTTCTTTCACTACTCACTACCAGACTACGCGTGGCAAAATAGGATAAGCATGCGTGAATATGCGTTGAAATTGATTACTGTGTTAACGGTTCTGCGAGCATTGATTTCCTTGCTTAGTGTCGTAACAATGACCAATCAGCATTAAGTCAACAATGACGGTACAATAGAAGTCGGTCAGACAGATGTTCGAGCATGGCTGTTAACGTTTTGTCGTTTTCGTGGTTTTGTGTATTAGCCTATTTGACAGCTTTCAGTTGTGCCTCCAAAAATAGCTGTATATCGAATACCTTAATTTTCATCATATTTTTCGATGAGCTGTAGATTAGTTGCAATAAGTAATAAAACTTGATACCGCAAACTCTGTGATGACCTAACTTATGCCATAAGTATCTGTAAGCGGCACACGGTATTTAGTTTTGGATAAAATTGACAGTTTTGACCATTTGATGTATATCTTTTCTTTGGGCTGAAAACGTACATATATTTAATTGCACTTTTCCATTTTGTAAACTGTATTGTTTGTAATCTCATCAGGTAGATTGGCTTTGAATATTTGAGAAGTTGAGCAAGCCATGAAGTCTGCAATCGTTGTGTATTGTCAGAAACAGTAGATTGACTTTTGAATATAGCTCAGTAGTGATGTTATGAAGTAGTTTAACAATTGAGTGAGTTTTTACGTAATCATTTATTGCATTTAGTTTAGATTTAGTTGAAATTTAGTTGTATTGCAAAATGAGCGGGAAAAAGAGAAAGTATGATGAAGATTATCTTAGGTATGGCTTCATATATACCACAGTGAAGGGCGAGGTTGTACCGCAATGCATTTTGTGCTTTGAAAATCTCAGCAATGACGCTATGAGGCCAACTCGCTTACAGCGACATCTTAAAACAAAGCACCCTGCACATCAGGAAAAACCTTTAGCTTTTTTTCAAAGCAAAAAGGATTCATTTAAAAAAATGAGGACTTGTAGCATAAATTCATTTTGTCAGTCGCCTTCTGCAGATGTAGTAGAAGCTTCTTTTGAAATTGCTCATATGATTGCGAAGCAGAAAAAACCGCACAGTATAGGGGAGACATTGATAAAACCGAGTATTTTAAAAGCTGCTAGTCTTGTTTTGGGAGAGGCGAGCAGTAAGAAACTTGCAAAGATTTCTCTTTCGGATTCTACAATTAAAACAAGAATTGATGAGATTGCACACGACATTGAACTTCAGGTTATCGAAAAAATAAAGCTGTCGCCATACAATGTGACGAAACTACTGATGTTGCCAACTTGTGTCAGTTGTTGGTATATGTCCGTTTTGTAGGATCAAGTTCAATTGAAGAAGACATGCTCCTTTGCAAACCTCTCGAGACGACCTCTAAAGCTGAAGATGTATTCAAACTTGTTGCTGAATTTTTTGAAAATAATGAATTGAAATGGGATAAACTTGTAGGTGTCTGCACTGACGGTGCGCCGGCTATGATAGGATCTCGTAGTGGATTTATTGCCAGAATAAAACAAAAAAATTCCGACGTTATTGGATCGCACTGTGTCATCCATCGAGAGGCTTTGGCTTCTAAGACTCTCTCTACTTCGATGAAAGATAAGCTTGCGATAATAATACGAACCGTCAACTACATTAAAACTAGTGCCGTCAATACACGAATGTTTGCCAAATTCTGTAAAGATATGGATTGTAATTACGAGAATCTGCTTTTCCATACAAATGTTCGGTGGCTATCGAAAGGAAACATGTTAGCACGTGTGTATGAGATGAGGAATGAGCTTACGCTATTTCTGGAAGCTCAGGAAAAATACGATCTTCTCCTTTATTTCAAATCAGATGAATTTGTGCTGGTCATGGCCTACCTTGTGGACATTTTTGAATCTCTGAATAAATTAAATCTACTATTACAAGGCAGAGAAACTAATCGAATAACTGACTACGGTTTCATTCGTGCTTACATAGCGAAGCTTGAATTATGGTATCGCCGAGCTCAACAAGGAAACGCGGCCTCATTCCCCAATCTCGATACTGCTCTTGACGAAAAACAAATCAAGCTTGATGGTGATTTCAAGAGCGATATTGTGTCCCACCTACGTCTTTTAAAAGAAGAATTTGAACGCTATTTTCCAGATTTGAATGACACAGAACTTCCAGAATGGAAACTTACAAGAGATCCATTTCGTGTCGATGAAGACATTCTTCCAAGCAACTTGCAAGAAGAATTTTTGGATATGAAATTTGATTCATCTGCAAAAGACGACTTTGAAGCCATGCCGCTAACCGACTTCTGGGCAAAATATGTACGCATATATAAGAGAGTAGGTAGCGTAGCAATACGCACTCTGCTTCCGTTTTCATCTACCTACCTTTGTGAAAGCGGGTTTTCTACTCTGGTGAATATAAAAACAAAACAACGGAATAAACTTCAATGTGAATCAGATATGAGATGTGCGTTATCTGCTACAGTTCCTCGAATTAAATTACTTGTTTCGCAAAAACAGATTCACCCCTCTCATTGACGTCTTGTTTCGTTGAATGCATGTTTGTGCCTCAATTTAGGGGGGGGGGGGGGGCGAAATCTGTACGATTTTTCAAAGGGGGGCGCGGCTCAAAAAGTTTAAGAACCACTGTTCTAGTGGATTAATGACATGAAAAGTGAAACAAAATTTGTGCATTATGCAGTATCGAATGAATTTTTGGATGGCTGAAATCGAATAATCAATATTTTCAAATATAAAATATGTTCTAAAATGGATTATGTTTAACGGAGATAGAACACATAAAAGTCATGCATACTGGATTCCTCTAAATTTGTAAATTGGACAGTTTTCAGAAATTAAATGAAGGCCCTTAAAGTCAGAATGCAAGGCTTTCAATTACTCAAAATAATAATTATTCAAATGAAACAATTCTAAATTATTCTAAAAATTAAGAATTCAAAATATCACAAAGTTTCGAATATTCGATTCGTGCGGACATTCCTGTATTGTCTGTACATAAAAGATATTACACACTATTATAACAAAAAACCTTGTCAGTCGTGTGTATTGTCGTTTACGTGTTGATGGATTAGTTTCAAACTTATATGGTCTCTGTCGTCGCCGTGCAGTAACAACTGCCGCAGCAGCAGCAAGGCCAGGAATTGTTCCAGCAGCTGTCAGAGAGTTTGTTATTTCATCCTGAAACAGATAAAACCTCTTTAATTTATAGGTGTATAATGTTACAGCTCACAATCAGACCCAACATTGTCAACTTATTCGAGCTGAAATTATAAGATATTAACTGAAATTGTGAATGTTTTGGTCAGATTACTTTACCAGACACTTGATATCATTGTGCCATTACTTGTTGTTACTTAGTAATTATTACATGTTTATGTGAGGGTGCTACTTTGGTTATGGTGTATTATAGTTTGTAACAGGCCTGGATAAAGGACCTGTATCTGCCTTGAGGGCAAATAAACTTTTCATGGTAGCAGAGGATGGTTACTGCTCTTTGAGATGGCTTCATCGGTAACAAGACAAAACCCTCCTAAACTTAAGGATGATATACCCCAAATGGTCACACCTATACAGAAATATGCATACATTAAATTTCTAAGACTGATGAATACTTTTTTAATTTGATAAGAAAAAATAACAGCAGAAATATCTGTATAGACTGAATATGAACAAATGTTTTAATGTTCCTATAATTTGATAAACCCCTAAAAATATAAATCAGTAGTCTAATAACCTCAATGGCATAATTTGATAAACCCCTAAAAATATAAATCAGTAGTCTAATAACCTCAATGGCACTATGCAAGAGATGAGCTCCACCGAACCCATCTTCATCACCTAGTGAATCATCATCTTCACTTAGGGGGCCTCCAAGTTCACCATCCGGTTCTAACATTTCTGTGTCTTGTGGATGAGCCATCCCCGCAGCTATAGACACTGATATATGATGTCCTCCCAATTCATTGTTCATTTTTTCTGAATATACAATATAACAGATAGTTAATATAATACATCAAATCAGTTTTGATGCAATCCAGCAAAATTCAATTAAAATTACTGTATCGAATTAAATACTTTTTTCATTATGTAAAAAAAATGCTATACTAGTCGATATACAAGGCTGCTTCTACCCTTGGATCATAGACACCAGCTTATTTCAGTGAGAATGTATGTTCTAAATGAAATACGATAATGGGTTGTTGGATTACACATGACTTGATGGAATAGGGACAGAGACTTCAAAATTTGGACAGAATGGATTTTGAATATGTTTCATTTGAGTATTCAAAAAACCTACATGTTTGCGAGGACTAATTAAACAAAACCACTCAGGTGACTTCCATCTGGATAGAATTCTCGTATTTATCTCATGGAAAGAAGCGTGCAGGGAAAGTCAATAAGATGGCTTGGGCATATGGCAAATCACCCATTTTGTTACTATGCATAAACTTGTTATGTCTGTATGTGAACCACCATGCGAACAAACAGTGCAGCAATCCTTTCCTCATGGGATTAGAGCCGGTGAACTTGCACAAGTTCATTAGTGGTGCAATGGAAAGCAGCACAACATCTGATTATGATGCCAAAAACACGAACTACACCTATTACCATCGGGTGATTTACGTATTACCAAAACATTCTGATGTGGTAAATTTATTTGGAAATTGCTAGCTTTTGTGGCGGTACACTCAAACTCAGCCAAATGACTGAATGAACACTTGTAATGGCTGAATGACGTGCGTGCGACCATGTTGTGTTAAAACCTGTTTAAAATCATTTCATGATTGAGACCATTCCATCATTGACAAGTTTTAAAACACAGATACGCGTTGACATGTGTGTTAACGAAGTTGTACTGAGGAAAAATCATCATTTCCCCATTTTTTTTAGATAGTCGGGTGATTTCCTTGCGCGGGCGCAGAGACAACAGATCGTTCTGAGCATGTCATGCGCCTGCGCAGTGGCGATGTTTATCACTAGAAAGATTGGTTGTCCTGTTTTGGTGTTCAGCAACAGGCCGGAGCCTTCTAATCACTTAGAACATAACAAGAGTTTAAAAAAAGTTACACATACCCGTAATTGATTCCGACAAAGCTCACCAAACGCACTGTAAAACTCTGTCAATCTTTTTCGCCTATAAAACAAGATGGCGCCCGATCTATGATTGGTGCAGACGATGCGGTCGTCATATTTCAAGTCGTCATTGAAGCGTTCATACTCACGATAGTGGTTGAGATCAACTCGATTTGGCTGCTATGAAATGAAAATAAGCTCGCTTAATTGAAATGGTCTTATATGCGTTGTTATTGATATCAGTTCTAGGGAATGTTTTCGTCGCCTCAAGTCCGACCACAGAAAACTGCTGGGTTAACGAAACTTTTGAAGTTATTAAAGAATGTCGCCATTGTTCCACAAAAGAAACATCTGATTTGAAAGCTTGTGCGAATACGGGGTATATTGAGGAGTTGAAATGTAACAAGTCTGGTGATGTCATGCGCTCGTGCCCCACCCCAAGATCTGTTGAGGTGCTGAACTTCTGGAAATTTCAAATTGCTACATTTGTCGTCGGCGTAGTTTCTGTTGCTTTGGTGATATTGAGAATGAGAACCTTGGATCGTGAGTATGTGGACAGAATCAACAAGCAAATTTCATCATTATGAATTGGAAAAACTGCAAGCAGGAGAATTAAAAATTTCACAGAAGAATTGCTGAAGTATTGTCAATTTGACTAGAATTATTTGATGTAGAGTGAGTGAAGGCAGAGCAATGCTTATGAACTATTTAGCACCATTTCTAGGTGCTCTGTATAATTCAGACTGACAGAGGGGAATACTGTGCGATTTTTTTCCGCAAATTTCTCCTATGAATCAACTCAATCTGTCAATGCTTTGATTATTGTCATAAAGGGTGGAATGAGCCAACAGTTCTTCACTGACTCAAAGACTTTCTAAATAAAGTGGTACACAGAGAATGAGTTACTGTCTAACATGTCGAGTTGTAACGTAAATGGTTAGAAAGCCAGCAACAGGCTTGTTGATAGACACATAAATACCTCTTTCTATCTAGATTTCAATGCCGCACAAAGACCACTTTGATTCTGTAATAATATGCTCTCACCTATCAGTAGCTGTTAATCAGTGCATGATTTTTTTTGGCAAAAAGGGACCGACCATATGTGGCACTGTAATGTTTATTATTATTGTCTCATTGCTATTTGTTTTATATGACCACTGTGCCGCATTGTTCTATCATTTATGTGGAAATCAAATTCTTGCAAATCTTAAGAGCCTACATTATGTTCTATATATACCTGTTTCTGCAAATAAACAATATGCCTCTTGGCATGCACTAGTAATGCGATGTATTAGTTCTAGCATATTCTGTCTGGTATGAACTTCAATCCTGTCCACAACGTAGATGTGAATCTAGAAAAATTGCTGTGAACACTGATCCCAATAACGCCATTAAATATTTTGAGAAAGTGAGCACTCAAATTATTTTGAAATGCAACATGGTTAAAAATACCCCACAGTGGGAAAGCACCTGGATGTAGAAGCAAAATAAGGGGAAATGGAGTTTAAGCAGGATGAGTTTGTTCATATTTTGAGCATTATGGCAAATATATTCCCACAGTCCATACTCATGCCGTTTGAAACAAACACACATTGGCAGTATCATACCCAACAGAAAAAAAAACTTTCATTTTACAATGAATGGATGGCTCCAGTTTAATATTAGGTTTAACATGGGAGATATAAGTCACATCTGTATGGCCACTATTTTTATTTTGGAGGCACAACATTTTGAATCGATAACAAAAGCAATACAACAACATATCAGAACTCAATAAGGGCAATTTAAATAACATAACTACAAGTGCAGTTGTAAAGCAACTGCTCTTTGTGGGATACAAACATTCCAGAACAACACCAATCAGATGTTCAGTAAGTCGGTCTTCATAAATTTGTCTAATAAACTAATGGTTCGACTCGAAAACCTGTTCTACCAGTGCAGATTTGGATTGCAGAAAAAATGGGGCGAAATGCAATAAATTGATTTCGATGCTACAAAAATAGCATAATCTGGGATGATGAAAAATCTAATTTAAACAATTTTCAAAATTAAATATATTTTTTATTTAAGTTTCATTCAAGAGTACGGATATTAAAATATCATTATTGTTCTATTGAATTAGACAACACTGTAACAAATACAAGCCCAAGTACTTATGTCCTCTAACTATTCAGACTTCGACATTCCCAGCTCCAACACATTCTACATCGTCACAAAGATTTACATTTGCCCGTGATATTGCTACTCTCAATCAGAGCATTTTTTGTTAATTATGTTGCGATAAACCTCATCTACAACACATTTTGGCACAAAGAATATATACGAGGAAGGCATAAGCCTGAAACTTATTAACAGATAGATAGGATAGATTTGAATAAAAATTTGTTTTGCTTATTTTGGCATCACACTGACGATGGATACAGTAATCTGCACCCATCACAGTTTTTGATAATAGCTTACAATAATAAAATTTGGGAACTTATGCCTCTTTGTATTGTATTGCAGATGTTGTCATTACAGCTCCAGAACGAGTAGGAGATGCACATACTGGTGTAGTCTGAAAGGAAATATCTCTAGGGTGTGAGGATGGATGGGTAATTGATGATTCATTATCCACTTTGTTTTGCTTAGATTGCGCATAAAGTAAATGTTTAAACAGTTCATATACAGACCATGATATAGCTGTGGATGGCATTTGATATAACACCCTTGCTGTAACACCTCTGAAAAAAGTCCGCAAGCCATCTGTACGAAAAACTGTGACTAAGGCTTCTCGCAATCCACTTACGAGCATCTTCTGTGAACCATTATGATTAAATTCTTGTGTGTTTAGTAAAGTACGACAAACGTCTAATGGATTTGTTACAAAAGCTGCACATGCTCCTGCTGCAGCTCCGCTCAAAACATGAGATATTGGGTTATAAGTTCTGTCCGTATTTATCATCTCCTGAGTATACTCGTACACAACAAAATGGACGGTTTGAAAGGGTATGTTCATTAGTAATTGAGTTGGAAACGAACGATAAAATGCACGGATTCCCTCTGTCCTCAAGGTAGCACTAATACATTGAATAGGAGTTTTGTGTTTTGATTTATACATTTGCATTCTTTGCTTGATTACTGAAAAATAAAAAAGTTTATATTAGACATGCAGATCGATAAATCTTAATAGAAATAGCAAATTTATATTATAATACTTCAATGTGAAGGTCATGAACACAAACACAATTTTCAAGCATACCTTCAGCCGGGTTCATAACTATATCGTGAAATATTGTTGCAGAAGCACCAGCCAAACCTAAAAATATATCACAATTAAAGATAATGTCTACACACTGTCGGGAAACCTAGTCTAAGCAACTATCAACAACATGCCAGCTACAGTTTCACACATACCATAATTCCGGTTTCAGATAATAACTATTATCAGTACACCAGTATCGGTAAAAATAGATTCCTAATAATTCGGTAGCTATCAAAAATGCTGAATATGTTGAAAAGTTAATGGCGGAAAGAAATTAGAGTAGAATTCTTCCAGGTTTTGAAACATACGAATTTACTATAACTTTTGCACTGTGTGTATATGATTGTTTTGTCAATTGCAGTACAGGAAAGAGCGTTTTTGTTTTCGACATGATGGCAATAGTAATTTATACAATATTTTTAAAAACATCACCTATTTGTTAATTTAATTTTTACCATTTGAACATTTACATCAAAAACTAAAATGATAAGACTAAACTCAAAATATAAGAAGCAGAAGTCCGATATAGTATAGAAATCCACACAGCTGCAAAATTATACTGTAAAATACCCACCGTTAGCCAAACTTGAATTTTTTTTATTTTTCCCATTGAGATATATTGTTGTATGGTGTTTCACTTTTTCATAACAAGCAAAATACATCGCATGAGCAGGTCCAGCACCGAATACCATTGCACTCATTCCTCTTAGAAGTCTCCGATAACCCTCTTTCATATATATTGTTGAAAGAGCATTATAAACACTGTTGTATCGGACCTTCTCTATACTTTGCATCTGAGTCTGCAAGCAAAAGTAATTCGATAAATAATCAGAAATGTTGAACGAGCATCACCAGCCAGGGTCTACCTTCTAATAAAATCACTCATACAGTACATATAAGTAAAGATTACATACTCGAGGAATATATCAAAAATTTACACTCATACTGATTTAGCAAAACCATTTTCGTTGGTTTAGTATTACTTGAATTGGATCTGTTTATTGATTTGAACGGACTAATTCAAAAGTGAACCATTATTCCATACAGTGAAGACATGTGATAAGAAAAGTCTCGAAAATCATACCTAACGCTATTGTGTAGAATATAATGTTTAAGTATCGGTAGTTTCATTTATTTACATTCAAGTTATTCACCCATCCCTATAAAGAATGAATCGAAGATTGACAATTTCATAATATATTATTTCAAGTCCAATTCAGCCAAATGCGACATTCAACAAACCCTGCATATTACTATTAAATGACGGTGAATTTACAGCATTTTTTTAATTTTACAAATAATAGCTCAATATATATAAACATCTAATATTAAGCATTCACAGCTTAGAAGTTAGAAATCAGTATTGTAGTTTCTGGCAGTATATGTATAGCATGGGCATGATTATAATATTTTGACTAAATCTTCCAAAACTGTTAACGTTTTAATGTCTTTAAACGTCCTTAATCAATACAAATTAGTTTTGCTCATCAGATTTCAGCAAAAACCAAACAGAAACGTCATCAAGCATGACATCATATGTACATCACTCGTCTCAGACAAGGGTAAATGATGCATGTGTTTCAAATAGACCACGTCTATTGTATTGAATAATGCAACGTCATGGTGATATTGAATCCAGTACTAAAAGGCGATAACAACACTAATCGAAGTAAACCATTGAATTTTGAAATCTACTTGTCCAAACTTGGTGAGAAAAGAATTATGTTTGCACAGTATTGTCAGTATAATAGTATTTTCAAAATTGACACATTACAAGAAAGACGTCTTTAGGTTGGGAAAGCAACCTTTCCCTAACTAATCTTATCAAGCATGTTCTATGTGTAGGATACATCTTAAAAAATTTTGAATCATGTAATGTGACTTGTGGATTTAAAAAAAAATAAAATGCAGAATTATTAAGCCAGATTATGTATGCCTTTAACCATATACCGGTATATCATTGTGCTGTACTTTCGAGATTATGTAATATTGAGTTACATAATCCAAACTAGTGTGTCTGCAATTTGCTTCCTCTGCAGCCAATGCCATTTTGTTTTCAAAACGATATTACACAATAGTTGGTCAAAAACTTAAAATGATCTCATCAGTATCAAAAAGCAAAATTTTCAACTCACAAACAGACCACCCTAATCGGCTCTTTATTTGCTTTATGACATCATACTATAAGATTAATAACTTGAAAACTTCAATTTACATATATAATTAAAGAAAATCTAATAAAAGTATATATATTTACTGTAACTTATTGCCTTACATTATTCCAATAATTTCCCAATGGGCTTGATAGCATATAATTCGGTTCGTTTTTATCTGATTGAGATTACATAATATTAGTTTTCTGTTTTTGCTTCTGGCATGGACATTAAATTTTCTTGCGGAATACAATCAAAATCATGTGTATGATACAACAATGTGTATATTCATCAATGCTTGATTAAGCATTTTCATGAATAATAGCAAATACTATAAATCATAAATAGAATAGAAATGAGAGATTAGATTTGCAAATAATGATTTATAGTACACAGCTGTCTTTATGTCGAATATTGCATTTTTTTTTTTCTTTTACGTTCATAATGTTGAAGAATTTATCGTCAAAATATAGATTTTTAGAAAAACTAATCAGAGGTATATTATTTTATTATATCGATTAAATAATTAACAAAATTAACTAATGTGTCGTTTTTAAAAGTTTGCTGTTAACTTATATGAAGATCTGTCTTATGTTTTTTCTTATCTTTCCTCATACAAAATATATTAACATATTTTGTCAATTTTGACCCATATTTGTGATAGATAGAAATATTTCGACCATTGGTAATTTCTGCAACAGATAATAAAATGATAGGGCAGCAAGAGTGAATGCTGTTAGTTAAATATTAACAGATAAGTACTCTGAATTAATAGTAAACAGTTTTACTACTATCTGGGGATATCCAAATGAAATTGAAAAGTAAACTTTTTAATAAATTCAGTTATGTAATAAATTTCTGAACTGCGTCTCAGCCACTACATTTAATTAAATTTGTGCTTGTCTACATTGTTCAGATCTTGACCTTTTTTGCAATTTTCACCCTCGTAGAAATGTTGGTTACTAGATTTACCACCTATAGACTCAATACGGTGCTTATTTGTAGAGAAAATAAATTTACAAATTACTTCATTATATTAATTTGAAGTGAAGGCTGACTTTTTTTATTGGCAAATAGCTGTTCGATGTCTGGTGGAGACGCATTCAAGCTTTAGATTTGATTTTTTATTGTGTTTACTTTGAATTTACTTACCCCTAAAAATAAGGAGATTTAACCCAAGGGGCAAATTTTCCCCATGTTACGAAATCCTGGTTAAGACAGATTTTCCAGCTGAGATGTATTGAGTTGGAAAGACCTTATTTTGGTGCATTTCAGTTGATTGATTTCTAGTAAACCGAGTTATTAGGCGAGACTAGTTATTTAAGACCCAATTCGGAACAATGTTCCTAAATACCCATTCTCATTCCCTATATGGCCATGACACAGGCATAGGTTTCATCATATTTCTTGTTTGCTTTATGGGTTAGTAACTTGGTAGTTCGTGGCATGGTCTGTAAAAATGATGCTCTAAAAACGAAATATACAAATATTTGCTTAAGGATACAACTAGTACCGGTCCTCAATTCAGTAACCGCATTTCAACCTCAATATGAGAATATTATAGTCTACAAACATGATTTATGTTTAAAAGGATGACAAAACTAATTAAAAGAGATTCTGAATCTATATATTCAAACATTTAGTCAGATAAAAATTGAAATTATTGTCAATAACATCCTACCTCGAACCTTACTGTGAAGTGAATAGAAAAACAATTATATAAAGACAATTTGACACTGCATTAGAAAGATTTCATAATGGGTTGAACGTTGCAACATTACCATGACAATGGAAGAAAAACACCTATCTAGTGACGTTGTAGTCATTTCTAAGTATCGCTTGACACGCTACGGTTCAATACACTCCAGATATTTGTTGACAAGTGCACCTCTAAAAGGGACACACAACACCACCCATACTTCAATTTACTTTTTCTGTCATTTATAACGCTCATTGCCAAAATTATATAAAACACTTTCTTGGTTTCAGAATTCAAAACTATTTGAATCAAGCTCATTATGTTTACCCCCATTTGATTGTATAATTCACAATGAAAAAGCATATCGTGGATTAACATGGGTTATCATTAACACTGATGATTTAGATTAGAATATTTGTTTTGATTTAAATTTAGTTACATAAATACTCAAATTACAAACACACCTTACCAATCTGACATTTGAAATAAATCCAGAAAAATTTATTTAAACGAACTAAATATTTTTTAACAACAGTTCTACACATACTCTTCATCTTAGTTTCATATTTTTCTGTACATATACAGTAGCTTAAAATTTTTGTTATGATTTGTTAATTTTGGTTTTGTTGAGAAGGAACTCTGCAGCATCAATGTATTTAGCTTGAGACAGTGCTGAGTATCGGAAGATCCAACATCCTTATCAAATTCAAATACTTACTTCCAATTCACAACCTTATAGGGATGTAAAGGCAAAATTTACATCAAACTCAGGACTCGTAATGATTTTTAGAAATGAGTCTTGCTCTGGACTCTGATAAACCAATTTTTGACCACAGAAACTATGCCAGGTGCAAGACTTCTTTAATTGGATTTTGAAAATGATTGATCAACTAAATACTTTTTTAGCTTACGTTGTAAATTTTTACTTTGTTTTTATTTCGATTACCGCTAATAGAAATCTAAAATTCCTATTTTGACCCCCAACTCCAAAAATTTTAAATTTCTACTTCAGCACAAGACTCCTAATTCCGAGAGGTTTGAAAATACAACTTCTGTACCACCTCCACACCCTTGTAACTAAGTAAAAATTGATTGATTTTTTAATAATATATCACTTTAGATCAGCAGTTCCCAAGCTAGGGGTCGCGACCCACTGATGGGTCGCAAAAGGAATCTTAGTGGGTCGTGAAAAGCTGTAGAAAACTTTGAATAATTATACTGGTCGGTAGAAATTAAATTCCAATCTGTGAGAGTTTCCTTTTTACGACCTTCTCAAAGGAACAAAAATTTGCTACACAAAGAATGACCATGTGGCTTTTTTACGCATAGCAGTTTTGTACACTGTACCGCACTCTTTACCGTGCTTCCCCGAAATTTAGACAAGATTCAGATTTACGGTACTTTCTTTTGAAGAATAACACTGTTTTTTTTTTGGAAGAGGTCTTTTGTGTTCATTCATCAAAAATAAAATTACATTGTAGAAAATCACGAGATGGGTCGACATAAGCTGTGATAATAAATAGTGGGTCCAAACTCTGAAAAGTTTGGGAACCACTGCTTTAGATTATAATACTTATCCTGTATGATAACTGCTGCAGAACTTCACAACCTTTACAGCGTGAAATTCATTTTGCATGTCAAACTGGACAAGCCATGGGGTAAAATACTTAATTCAACGATTAATCCAGCTGTGCCAATGATAAAGATTTAGAAATATCCAAGATGAATAAAATATATATCCAAATTCGAGTATGAAAATACCAGACCTTTACACAGTCGATTGGGTACATGGTGGCGTGTTCTAAAATTCCAGCAGCGGCCCCAGCAAGCATATGAGTTCTGACAGGCCATTCTTCTGGTAAAGAATCGTATTCGTCATTGTCCATATCAAGAAATATAGTTTTATTGTCAGTTTGTTCTGATGGAATTAATACAGACATGAAACAGGCTCAAAATGCCCACTTGTGCAGTTTGATTATTACGAACTACCAATTATTCTAAGTCCTGCCAGGTATCGTGAAAGTGGTAAATCCAGAAAAAATAAATAATCCAGGTTAATGCCATTCATTAAAAATCCATATCATTCTGTACTCGGTCTTACTACTTACTGAATACAGCGCGAAACACCGCAAAGAGCGCAAAACAGCGCGAAACAGCGCAAAACAGCGCGAAACAGCGCAAAACAGAGGGAAACGGCGCAAAACAGTAGGGAAACAGCGCAAAACAGCGCGAAAGAGCGCAAAACAGCGCGAAAGAGCGCAAAACAGAGGGAAACAGTGTGAAGCAGAAAAAAAATTTGCGATGAGTTCGGGGCACCTTGTTTTGGGTTGGAGTACCACGGCAGCAAATTAAAAACACAAACCAACGTATGTAGCCAGTAATGCTGTAATGGCAGGTCTGCCCCTGCTGGTGACACATTTTGGGTACCATAATTTAAAACATTTTCCATATGGATATGGTTGGCTTTAGGGTTAGGGTTAGGTAAAAAGGGACCTCCGGAAGTATGTGCATCAAGATGGTGCACAACCTGAAAATAAGATGTGTGTGTGTGTGTGTAGCGGATTAAGGTTGTGCGACATGTTGCTGCACATACTTCCGGAGCACCAAAAAGGTAGATAAAATTTTGCATGATAACCTATAATCCGGTACATGACCTTGTAAATATACCGGAAATAGCGCCATAAAACCACGGCGAGAGGCGCCGTGGTTCTTTCGTGGCAGGAGGTGGTAATGACTGCGTCTCCTGTTTTGCGCTGTTTCCCTCTGTTTTGCGCTGGTTTCATTCTGTTTCGCGCTGTTTTCCTCTGTTTTGCGTTGTTTCGCTCTATTTTGCGCTGTTTCGCGCTATTTTGCGCTGTTTTGCGCTCTTTGCGGTGTTTCGCGCTGTATTCAGTAAGTAGTAAGACCCTTCTGTACTCAATAGAATTATTTTGAAGTTGTATCTGAAATCAATCCTGATGGACTTATTTATTGAATTATGTAACTTAGGCCTAATGTACTGCTGTAAACTGAAATGAAGTTGGTAAGATGATAATGAAAAAAAAAACAGTAACATTTGACATACAATATTACATATTCATAAGATTTATAATTTACTCATTTACCACTTTCACCACCTTCAACAAAGCTCAACAAACTGATTAACGCAGTCTTGCTTGGGAGTTATTCTTTGTAATAGACTGAAGTAGAACTGTAGAAAGTGAAAATTTGCAAAAGGATTTAAAGTGACCAGCGTACAATACCACTTTACGCTTCTTCCCCTGCAATACTGATCATTGCAGCAACGTCCAGTTCCGATTATTTAGAAATAAAAGGAATTTGGGAAATATCTCAAATGGTACTTGATTTTATGAAGTCAGAAAGTAGCGTTAGAACTTTTGACGAGTTTTATATCTACAACAATATTTTATTTTTGGGTCGTTTCAAAATGCAACAAAGTTTAACTTCTACAGAGAAAATACGAATGTTTTCTTTAAACCAGTAAAAACTGAAAAACATATAATTTCACAGCACATTCAATAGATATCCTATACTACTGCAGCAATTTTCAGTGACATACAGGTACAGTATGAAAATAATAATCAAATCTACTAAAGTCATATTGCAGTATTGCAAGGCTGATAATATTATCGAAAGCAAAAAGTTTGCACTTACAGCCTGCTTAGATCTGATACCGGTAGTCAATAGACAGACCTATACGTATACCAGTATACTAAATACAGAAATACAGTGTCGCTAGTCTGTCAGCACCGGTATCGTTACGGTATCAATAAAATGATAGACTATTTTTAACGCAACAGTGCCGTAGCACAACCTGCAATTTGTTCAATAAAAAACTTCCAACGGCAAAACTAAATGTCAGAATGTACTTTTATCATATTTCAGTAGGTATTGTCAAAGATGAAGAGCTACGAATTCCATCACTTTCTGGCCAACTGCAAGTACAAGCTAAAGCCGCGTGGCGCGTCTGTCTGCGGGAAAGCATTGCCGAAATAAGCTGCGTGATTCAGCTAAAATTGGACGCACAAGTTGGCGCCTCCTCACGTAACCGCCCGAGGGAGACGATTTGCGTCGACGCGAGGCGAATTTCCGTCCCCGGAAATCGATTGCCTTGTTCATTTCCCTAACAATGACCAATCAGCAAAAAGTCTGCGATGACATAACAATTGTAAATTTTTCGACTGCCCAGACATTTCGTTTGCTAAGACCGGTATGTTAGTCGTTGGCTAAGACGAATATTCAAGCATGATTGTAATCATTGTCTCGTTTTCGCGGTTTTGCGTGTTGTTTGCTAGTTTTCAGTGGTGTTTCCAAAAATTAGTTGTAAATGAAGTAATTTAATTATCATTATATCTTCCGATGAGCTTTAGTTTAGTTGTAATATTCAAAAATTAGTCCAGGAAAAGCTGCAATTAGGGTTGCCAGCCGTCCTTTATTTCAAAGGACAATCCTTTATTTGAGATTTTTGTCCTTGTCCTTTTTAAGATGATAATTGTCCTTTATTTTTTCCAACATCGTTTTGCCCGATAGTTATAGCGTAAATATATACTGGTTATAGTACTGTGTTTGATATTGTTCCGTTCTTAAATCGCCTCCGTTTATGTATTTGAAGCTTTTAATTATTCTTTTTAATTTTGCTTTGGTCCGGCTCAAATAGCCAAAAAAGAAATTTATTTTAGCTTGGAACATGGCACAGTTACCTATATTATTGATTTTTTCGAGAATGCAGATGAAAGTGCGGATGGAATGTTCAATTGTTTGAAAAACACTATGAACAATTTACAACTTGCTTGGAAAAGAGTTTTTTGTTTAAGTGCAGATAACGCAAATTGCAACTTTGGAGAAAAAAAAAAAAACTTTGGAGAAAAACATTCTCTTTATACTAATGTTCGCACACTAGCCTAAGTGATGGTATTATTAAGACTAACTGCAGTGCACACATTGTACACAATACATTGTAATTTGCTTTAGAAAATTCAAATGCTGACATTGAAAATATTGTCTTGAAAATTTACAGTCATGTCTCAATGTCAGCAAAAAGACGAAAACAAAAGAGACGGAATTTCATGAAATTCTGCATCATGTAGGCTACCTACTACGTGGCTATCTCTGCTCTCATGCATCAAAAGAACCTTACTTTCTTGGAAAGCTTAAGTTCTTATTTCTTGAGCAGACCAGCTGAATGTTCCAGATAATTACTTAAACTTCTTATGATTGAAAAGGAGTCAGAAGTTCTTCAGCTTATTCAAATGTATTTAATATTCTCACAACATGTAATGGAGATATTTAAATTAGCTGTTTAAGAACTGGAAAAAATGAAACTTCAACAGCGTATGTTTTCATTGTTCTTACTAAATTAAGAAATAGGTTAAAATCTCCATCTGATAATTAATATTTTTGGGTATGATGTTCACCAACTTCTTGCAAATGTGAGTGCTGCTGAAATTCAAGAGGCAACTGAAGGTTTTTGATTATTTCTCAACTCTGCAATAACGTATTTAGAAAAATGATTTGACTTTGATAGTAATTCAACATTTGGAAAATTATCTCTTTTGGATAATTTTTCTCCAGAATTTCAGACACTTGTAAAAATTGTAGAGCATTTGAAGCTGAAAGACAAACTTAATTTGAATATGGATGACCTATTTGATGAAGTTGCACTCATTCAAACAAATTTTGGCACGATTCAAAGCACTAACTGTTCACAGAATACAAAATTACAAGCGGTAAATTGAAATCTTAAGTGTGTTCATGTTTTCAAAATAATTTTATTTGTGCTCTCTATTCCCGAAACCTCAGCTTATTGTGAACGCATTTTTAGTGTAATGTCATTTAAATGGCGCAGTTAAAGGAACAGATGCTTCATACAACTAATGAAAAGTGAGCTTTTATTATACTTCAACTTGAAAGACACGTGTTGTGAATTTTTGGAAAAAATAAAACGTGACCTACAATTGCTGAAGTCAGCAAAGAGTCAGAACAAATATAACTTTAAGAATTATAAACTTATGCAACTGCAAAATTAGAGCTTGATTGGGTCAATGTTAAATGAACATGAAAAACACATGAAGATTATATAATATATCCTTTTAGCTTGTAGATAATTTGTATTTCATTGTTTTATATTGTTCTTTCCTGCAAGTTACAAAATAAATGATGACGGTAATCTATGTCCTTTATTGAAACTTTTTATAGTTGGCAACCCTAGCTGCAATAGACAAGACTAAAATATCTCCCGGTACCTTTGCGATCCTAGTAGAACATAGTGAGTCGAAGTATGGATTGGAATAAATGGTTGAGCACGGGCGATTTATCATTTGTCTGGATCGGTACGTTACGGCTGTACGGTATGGGGCAGGCGCAAAGAGTGTTTCAGTAGTCTATATTCTACGAGACTATCCATACTCCCATTCTTTCATGAGTGATTGCATGGCTACCGGTACGGTCAGACGCAAAGCGACTATAACCGACTACCGGTATTTGGTAAGACGGTACGGTACCGGCATCGCGAGTGTTCAGACAACTGAGTAGTTAAGCAGCATTCTCCAATTAAATTACCTTCTACACGTAAAAACAAATTTTCCGAATTTTCGTATTTAATTCTATATTCTCTTATCATTATTATAAATATATTACTTCTTGAACTTGTAGCATGGAAAATTTATAGAACATTTTCATATTGAATATTGCTCAAGAAAATCAGTAGTGAGTTGGAAACCCAGGGAACACATTTGTGCGCGTAGGATTATGCCTGACAACGTTGGTCCCAAGCAGAAGCAAATTTTCTAAAAATAAAAACACGTGACAACGATGGGCCACGAGGCGGACCATCGTTGTCAACTTTTTATTTTCTTTTTATTCAAATTTTTTTTTTTTTTTTCGTTTTCATTTTTAATTTTCTTTTTTTTCTAATTTTAATTTTTTTTTCAATTATTTTTATGTTTTTTTCACAACTATATCTTTATTTTCGGTTTTTTATTTTATTTTCAATTTTACGCGTGACAACGATGGGCCACCATACACAGTGTAATAACTTGAGACATCTATTTTGGTTGAGCCAAGCTACGATTTGAAAAAATTGCTGTCGTCAAACGAATAATAAAGTTGAAATAATGGAATAGATGTTATGTGCAATTGTTTTTTTTTTCAATTAGCAATTTAATTTTGCGACAAGAGAAGCACTACATGCCGTTTAGTGTTCGTGCATATCCTTGGATTGCCAGGTTTTATGAAATTTTTTACAAAATTTGGGTCGCTTATAAAAAAAATTAGAAACCTCTGGGCTAGACTACTCTTTCACAATCTGAGTTGAGAATCTAGCGCAAAAACAACTGAAATCATCCTTAACAATAACAAGTTAGACAGTAATCCATGCTGAGATATTTATTATACACGAACAAAAAACGCAAACAATATGCATCTCATACAATATAATGTTGCTTTTATGCTAAAGAATGATACCTTGTATATATATGTGGACAAGCTGACTGGAAAATTTACAGGAAGCTTGTACAACCATGAATTTGCAAAGCCAACAAAAAGTACTGTGAGTAGCTAAGCCCTATCTATTCCTACCTAAAAGTTATCCGATATCCGATGTGCCAAAAATAAATGACGACTAAAATAAAAATGATATGATCGAGCAATGATAAAGAATTCTCCAATTCCAATATCAATTTTTTGAATAACAACTTGTGTATACGACCAACAATAGCAGATAAAAAATGTTTCATTACACATAAATGTGAGAATAATATACAGTGTTGAAATGTTGAATATTATATAAAACCCAAGTATAATCATTAACAATTGGTTGCAATCTAGTAGAAATCTTACAGAGTCCATATATCCAGAAAAGAGACACAAGTACACCATAGAGTTTATATCCCTAAGACAATAATAAAAACATTGCTTTTCCCATGAATTTCAGATTGACTGAATGATTAGAAATTACTGCATTAACCAAGTGAAGCAGCTAAGAGAGAAAGAGACAGGAAATACCAAAACAAAAGAGCAATAGGATTAAAGAATTAACATGACTGATATGACAAACAAGCAATGCTCAAACAAGCAAAGTAAGCATGACTAATTTGGATTGTTGAATAAGCATTACAAACTTCAATGCATTACATATGAGCCATTGTTCAAGAAAAATATCAATTGGATTCAATATAATTAACGGATTGAGAATATCCATTTGAGAAGAGATCGATTAAACATAACGGCATCAGTTATATTGGATGTGCTATCAAGCATAAAAATGGATTTCGAGTATCAACTTTGCAGCAATATTTAGCAAAATGAGGTCTCATATGTGTTTAAAAACCCCTAACTAGAGTCTTGGTACTTTTTTGAAAATAAGAATTGATAACATTAAATGAGCATTCTCTACTTGAAAAAGCAATCATTTTCAATGAAACTATAAGGAGTTCTTAAAACCTTGCAAATAAAATAGATTTGAATGCAAATTATAAAAGAAAGGCAACAATGTGTATTTTGCAATACCTGTGAAGTTTTGATTACATAATATTTTAATTGAAACATGCTATTTGCCAATGCTTTATGCTCCTGTCCAAGTACAACACACGAGACTATTATTCATTACCTATTTTGGGCAAGGTCTATTCCAATTTCCAAACATAAGAAAAAAAGCCAAAAGAAAACACTGTTTCATCTTAAGCTGTCATATATACAAGTGGGGGGTATTGATGGAAAGGAATAATACAATTAGTGAAAGAAAAAAAGATATAACGAAAGCTAGAAAAAGTAAAAATTCATAAAACACATTTTGTACAATAAGGAGACGGCAAAAGTTTCATAAAATAACAGCATGGATGATGAATCTGAAAAAAAAACAAGCAGAATTGAAAAGACCACAATATTAAAATTAAAATTTTACTCCAATCATGTCGATAAAATAGGATTTCACATAGTTCTAAAACAAAGCCAAGATTATGTAAAATTAATTTTCTAAATGATGATATATAATCATGTTCAAAAATACACTGACAAAACTTCTATAGAAATAATTTGTTCTATTTAATAAAAAATGCAAAATCCGGAGCAGATTGTGTTTTTTGAGTCATATGAATAAAGGCTTAAATTGTATCAAGACTACCATGTGTGAGCTGAATACAATTTGCATAACATAAACCTAACTAACTACCTGCTGAAATTGGGGGTGGAAACAAGATCTGTCTGAATCTAGTAAACTCCTGAAAAACAAAGAGCATCAATTGAAATATTTACAAAAAGATAGAGTTACAATGCTGTATTTTACTTTGTGATGAAATTTATTTTTTTCAATTCATTGAATTATATTATTGTTCACTGGCCAAACTGAAAAAATCAATCTCAAAATGCAATTCTGATTCTTAAAATAATCTATCGTGAGATTATTCTACAATTTCGTTCAAACAATATTTTTGGGTATTCATAATTGTAAAATACAAGACTTGATAAATATGTGCAAGCATTTATTTTCCATCACATTTCATTATATTAATAAAATATTGAACCAATGAATAAGTTATACCACAGTAAGCATAATTCTTTTGTAATTTAACGAGTGTAATTACAGTGGTATATAATCAGACAAAACATATCACCCGAATTGTCCTTGTTAGTAAGTGTAGCTAGTGTTTGCTTGGTGCTGAAATTCAAGATTTGAAATTTAAATGTATATAATCCAAATAGCATATTCAATCTCAAACCATCACCATGAATATTTATATCATTAAACTCAATGTCAGGAAATTTCAGCAATTGGGCGATCGGAATTTGTTGTACATAACACATACTTTTATATAGCTATAGTCCTGTAATCTGGCTCATGAAAAAATATGAGAATATTTGGTACTCCCGTAGTATGGGAACCAAGTCGACGGACACCAGAACATAGTATGTGTACCAGATTAGGGTTAGGCCATAATTTCAAGTACAAATACTACGAGAGTCACTTGGCTAGTCCCCGAACTCGTAATAGAAATGAAATAAGAAAAATTGGAATAAAATTATGGCCTAACCCTAACATGGTACACATACTATGTTCAGGTGTTCGCCATCTTGGTTCACATACTACGGGAGTACCGAATATTTTATATAAAGCAAAGTCTACTCACCTTTACTCTTAGTCTTCTCGAGTTGCTTAGCTGCACTTGATGGATTGTTAGCAGATGATGATGTTGCACTTGCAGCTGCAGCTGCTTTCTGTTTCAACATTGTCCAATCGAATACATAATCATACTAAAAAAAAAAATGTGAATATTTTTAAAATTTCCAAATAATACATGATAAAGATCAGAAAATCGCTGTAACTTGGGTGTAATCCATCTATCTGTAACATCTGACAAAATAAAATATTCAAATAAAATAAGCTATGAGACTGTGGCACAGTGGTTAAAGTGTTAGACTTAACTATGGTGGCAGATCCAATGCATACCACTTCACGCAGGGTGTAATAAATTGGGTAGGCACTTTTGAATTGAAAAGATTTCAGTCATTCTATTCCAAATTATAGTAGCTCCTCTTACTTAGCAGTGCCTGCTTGTGCAGAGCATTGTCCGGAGGAAAGGCATATAAAGACGTTGTAAATAAAATACTGTTCATTGTTGGATTTGGGTCATTGTTGGGTCTGACTTAGTCAGACAAACATTCAACTAGAACAGACGAAACATTATAAAAATATATTTGTGTTTATGTAGCCTACCATGTGTTGCTGTAAACCAGCTGAACATACGTAGGTGAAATTATACATTGATCAACCAATATGAGTTAAATCAATGTCGGGAGACTCTAAAAGACTTTGGAACAGCAGAAATATTTCACTGAAATATGATTCACCATGTTGTTTAACACTGTATTGGAAATTAAAAATCAGAAATAGACCAGCTTGTAGATTCAATATCTCAAAATTAGACAATCCTTGACCTGACAGTCAGTTGGCTCGCGACTCAAGATTTAGAGTCTTGCACCCAGCTAATATTAAAAAAATAATTTACCTGGTGATTAAGAGTCCTGAATAGGATACGGAAAAGTTGTCTGAGATACATATAATCTGGTGCTTCCTCAAAACGAAGACCACGACAGTAGTTTAAGTACATAGCAAACTCTGCTGGATATCCCTGGAATGTAGTGCAATGTCAGTAAATAAATGTTACTCATGACTCGTGAGTTTAAAAAAAAAACTTTTTTAACAGCCGAATCAGTTATTTTTCAATTACATATTCATTTCAACTTTCTTTAATAGCAGTAGGGAAAGTCATATTTGCCAATTAGTTATAAAAACATTCAATTAATCCAAATAATAATAAACAAATAAGTTTAATGCAAACACAATGCTAAATGTACTTTGCATACAGCGAACTTAACATTAGCCGCCTTTGGGACCACCAAAACAATTAGATTCAAAGTACGGACTTTATTTCTTAAGATAGGTAAATAAAAGTAATATGAATATTTTAATACATATTAAAATGAATGATAAAAGAGGTATGTATCTTGAGCACTTCCTAAAAAGTAAGAATATTGCTTCATAACAGCAGCATTAGTTCATGAATTATTCATTCTGTAACACAGTAAGCTCAACATGTGTATCACACAATGTTTTTTACGGATCGTATAGACTCATTTTTTTTGACAATTTTTCTTTAAGCCTTACTTTGATACTGATAAATTGATAACTGTTAGCAGAATTATTCATACACATTGGTGATTCCATTGTTGCAAGGCTTATTTACCTGTGGCCGTAACTATTCTTGGCTGCCTTGGCCAAGTTCAAAGGGTGGTTACAGACATTAATGGCAAAAACTTTGACCTTAGGCTTACGCAGTATTATATATTGAGACAATGTTGCTTCACTGAGGTTATCTTTTTTTAAATAACGAGCTTTGTTCACCAAAATTTTGTGACCTAGTTACCCCTAAAATGCGATTAGTCATGTCATTAGATTAACTATTATTTCCTGCTTCTTCGCCTTTCTATTCATAACGTTCACGGTAAACGTTTTTCCCCCTATTTCAATGACAGCGTTCCCTTAAATGCTTCATGTCCGACTTGCTGTTTGTATAAACATATTTACACAGCTTTTAGTTTTATTAATAGTTCAGCAGCTTCTATCAGTATTTTTTTCAAATTTAGAAACCGCTTAATGTCTTACTTCGAGCAGGTGTCCATTTGGGTCTATGGGACTTCTAGCAGCGTCGATTCTGCTAGCTATATGAAACTCTTTCGATATTAACCAGGATACATGTGGTACAAACCTTGTACAACTGGCAGACCTTTTATTTCTGAGTAGTATAAAGTACTATAGCCTCATATTTCATAGAACTTGCAAATAAAATATATGAGGCAATTCCCAAGACAAAATACATTAAGCTACCCTGCAGAGGACTTCCACTGGAGTAGACATTTTCTTCTCACTGATTTTTTCATATTTTTGTTTCTTTGTTGCAGCTTTGAGACCTTGCCATGGTAGGCTACTTCGGTTGAAATACATCAAAACATATCCAAGTGATTCCATGTCATCACGACGACTGAAAAGAAGGATACACCTTATTACATCCAGAAACCCATATATGGTGGTGGCACAATTATTCAAAATTAGTAAAATATGGGTAAAAAAATGAAACCCAATGGTCCCAGACAAAATATGAAAAAATATGAAGTGAGTGGCCTATTAAAAAACACATTCATCTTTAAATATCAATAATTTGAAAACTTGAAGAGAATAGCGATTTTCTGCAGCATGAAAAAGAAAATATTAGAACCATATCAACAATTTCTCACAATAGTCCGAAATTCCAGTGCGATCCCATTGAAATGTCACAAACAATTGCGCAATAGGTCAGTCGGGAGGCGCTTACACATTTCATATTTCAATTTAAATAATTTATAAACAAGATGAGTACATATCCCATGACTGACTTTATGATCAGTTTTATTTCACTTGCCATTCCAACCAACAATGAATCACAAAATAGCCTACATATTTAAGAGATATTACACAATGAAGTATTTATAAAATGTCGTACAAATTCATTCGAGCAATCAAATTTATGGGAATCAACGATAAAAACAATTTAATGTTTGCATGGGAAAAAATCTGATAAACCATACATAAAATCAAAGTAATTCCATCTGGATTTAACAAAAAGATTACATACAATAAAGGCCTGAGAATTCGACTGCGAGGTCACAACTTTCAGATTCCTAATTCAAGGAATATGAAGCGATAGAAGAAATTTACTACATTGCAAACACATAAAAGATACTTTATACCAAGCAATATAAACATGGTATATTGACAAACCGAAATAACGTTGCCTAACATGAGGTAAAACAAACAGAATTGGGAAAGCATCAAAGAGAGATTCAATGATTACTATTGGATATTCAAACACTAGACATAATATAAAGATACAAGATGTACCATTTTAGAGTAAGTGGGCCAACAGGCATTCAACTTTGAATTTCAGAATAGATTTAATGTTATCAAAATTACCACATTTATACAGATGTTTTCTTTCAAAAAAAAATCAGCTTGCTCAGAATCAAAATAATATGGTATTCAAAAAAGAGACCCAAAAAAGAGGGAAATAGTTTTTTCATTTTCATGATTGTATTGAGAAATCTACAATGAACCCTCTCTCAGTGGGTAGCATGTCTAGCATGTACCAAGGTCCATGAACTTATTAAATATTTAAATTGGAGAAATTAACATTTAAAAATCTCATTTTAGTAATACAATCCAGCTATTTTAAACATGTTAAAAATTTAAATTTGCAGGCTGGAGAAATTCTAATAAACAGAAAACACCACTGCAAGCATATCATAAACATATAAATGAAGTCACATACTGCACCAGACAACTGTTCATTGTCAAAACGGTACTCCCGTAGTATGGGTACCCAGTCAGGGTTAGGCCATAATTTTATTCCGATTTTCCTTATTTTAGTTCTATTACGAGTTCGGGGACTGTCTGTGTTAGCCAAGTGAATATACCCCCTGCCCATAGGCTTCTGCCTCCTTACACAACTTGATGTAAAGTAGGCGAACAAAATTAGTTACCTCCATATTGGTACACATACTTCTGGGACGTCGTCAAAACAGTTCAAGTTTGGATGAGATAAACAATTTATTAAAAAATTTTTTTTTTTATGAAAGATGCAAAATACAAAATATTAATTTTTTTATCGAAAAACTTCACTTCTAGCACCATAGCAACCCCAATGGCTATCTATTTTTGAGTCAAATATCAAATTAAAAAGTTTAAATGAATTTCTGTTTATTGACATTCTCACCTCTGTTCAATGCCAAGATGAGCATTAATACTTGCATATCTTGCAGTTCCAGTCAAATTTTTATCTTCTCGATAGGGGATATGTTGTCTCGAACGGTTGTCCCGGAATTTCTTTGCCAGGCCAAAGTCAATGATAAAAAGCTGCAAATAGATTACATCATTTCAACAAGGGAAAAAAGTAAATTTATAAAATTTGCATAAAAAAATTTGATTATATTATCAACATGAAGAAACTTTCGTTGTAATTCATTGTAAGATATACTCTTTCTGTAATATTATAGTAAATATGAGAATAAGAAATATTTTCAAAACTGGAATATGAATTTAAATCAAATTGGCCACACTATTCATTATGAAATCTGCACAAACCAATATATATAAAATATTATGGAGATGGATGTTAAAGGAGAATATTGGTATGCTGGAATCATAAATTTTAAAGTAGGTAAGTGAAACAAAATCTATATTTTCATCACACAGTCTGTTATAGTTTAATAAAATGACATCCAAAAATGAAAATAATAGGACTAACAAAATCAAAATGCGATACATTGAATATTCAATGTACTCGAAAATTCACATCCTAAAATTGATCAAAAATCATCAACAACAGCTAAATAGACCAGTTTACATATCCACAGAACTCAATTAGCGAGGAGCAGACTGACTACAGTGAAAGTGTTATTAGTGGTGAGGTCAAAGGTAATATTCCGGTCATAGGCAACATTAACACTTAGGATATTGTGTGTTGAGTGCCATACAAATCTGGATAATTGCTGGTGATATCCTGTCATTTAATTATCGCCTGAAGGCATTAACAGGATTAACAGCAAAGTTGATTAATAATAAAATCTACTTTATTATTTTTTATTACAAATTTAGGCTGTAAAGATGCTGTAAACCTTCCAGGAAATATAATCAAAAAAATATCATTCAATACAATTTCTTTTATCACCAAACCATCACTAAATATCAAATTAAACACCAAAAAAAAACATGTTAATATAACCTATATCCAATACAGCATCGTTCCCATGCACATTGAGGGAGGAACAAAGAAATCAAAAATAGGAAAAGGGAGAAACATATTAAAAAAGGTTGGAATTCACAATAATACAGTATTTATAGTATTATTACAGACTTAGTATTATTAAAAAAATTTAAAGATTCATTACAGGTTTTATAACCAATAATTGAAACATTATACTGGAAACATAAGGAACAAAAAGGCATAAAACCTGAATATACCAGCACTGTAACCAGCCAAAGATCGCTTGTTCAATATGAAATTTGGAGACCAGGGTTTTTTTCAGGTCAACATTTTTATCAAAACCATCAATATTTGAGGTAAGGCAATGGGGTCGGTAATGTAGAAATTGAATGGAAAAATAGTTGTTGTAAGTTGTAACATATGGCCGTTTACGTCACACAATCATCTTAAACTACTTGAAATCTGTAAGAGATTAGTTCGGTAGATGAAAAGAAAAAGAGTTTTACATATATTTTCCTTCTTTAAAAATTTTTGACTGACTGACTATCGATTTAATTTATCAACATCATGAAATTTGTACTCGGTCATGAAATAATCCACAGGAATTTTTCACTTCGGACCAATAAATCCAGGCGGGAAAATAAGACACACGTTTTACTCCCGACAAAGATATTTTGAATGAATAACTCAAACCAATAATTTTTGACCAAATTATAGTCAAAAACAGTAAAAAAAAGTATGATGAAGCAAATTAGCCCGAGGCACTGTAAATATTATTATATAAATATACCAATAAATTAAGGCGGCAAAAACTAGTTATCAAACAGGTGAGTATGGCATTTAATTAACTCAATTAGAATGAATGAAAAGTAGACTACATTGGCTAAAAATATATACTGGTATTAATATTGAGAAAGTCCAGAAAGAAGAAAATTTATTGATTTCATTTCCGTTAAAAAAATTGGAGTACTCCTTAGAAACGGCTCAAAGTGGTTCACATATTATGAAATTTCTAAACCTTTCTATTCAACTCACACAATGGACAGAATTCCTGCCACAGACACAAAATCATGCTATTTTTTACAATTAAAATTAGTGATTGTGTAGTACTACAAATATGAGGCACAAAAAGTCAAGTGAATTCTATTGCAGGAATGGGTATTTCAAAATATTTCAGTGAACGAGCATAAATTACATAAACTAGAAGAGCAAAATGGAGGAAATACCCTGACTAAAGCCCGATATGTCATTACGTTAAGTCAAAACCAATTTTATATTGAAAAGATTTCACAATACCGATCAAACTTTAGTAATGATTAGGTTTAAAACTTTGATCCACTCCTTTATATGTGTATTATATACTACCTTCATATTCAAGCATGGCCCATCGATAATGTTATCAAATTCCTTGACACCATGCATGAAACATGTTGATAGTAGTATAAAGTTCAAGTTCAATAATGATAAATACCATTGAAGAAATACAAATATTTACACAATGTTTATTGTCCACAAGTCTAGTCAAGATAAATACTATGATCACCTTGTTACAATGTCGTCCAATTCCCATCAAGAAATTATCTGGTTTGATGTCTCTGTGAATGAAATTCTTGTTGTGAACATATTCAATTCGACTGATCATCTGAAATCAAAAATGGATTTGAAATTAGCATATAGCAATTTACCATTGTACAATTTTGAAGCATTTTCAGATGAAAATAAATCTTATAAACCAGGGATGTACAAAATAAAAGCCGAGAAAGGCTCAGCACAAGCAGCCATGGCTGAGTAAGAAGCTATCAAACTGACACAAAATAATCAGATTTAACATTTTGAATTCCTGAGTTTTTGGGAATAATCTAAAATACCATTTTCAAAATTATCAATTTAAGCAAATAAAGCTTCACAGTATCCCCGAAAGATTTTCATATGATTTTTGAAAACTATAAAAAAAATAAAGCATTGATCGAATCATTGTTAATTTCTCTGTAATTTCAAATTCAAACTCATTAAACTTCCACATCTGGAGCTCTTTTGAGCGTGACGCAATTTAGAATATGTTTGAAATTCCATATTAAAAATATATACAGAATAGCAGATTATACCGATTGGCCATCCCTTGCATATACAGATACAAGCAGAAGATTTAATTTTATGTTTCCAATTTGCAAATTTTGCATCAAAATTTGTATCAAATATTGCCAGCAAACTATAGCAAGCAAATAGTAGTGAACAGGATATACAGAAATAATTTTCTTATTTATGATGACAAAAAAAATTGATCCGATTCAAAAATTTACAAAAAGAGTGGAGAAAAATCATCAAATCAGTTCAAATATTTATTACGCATTAATAAATTGATCAATATGTATATTGATGGCACATTTATTAATGGCCATACCAATGATGGGAAAAAGTACAGTACGAATGCATAAAAAGTATAGAATAGGGAAGTATTCAAGCAATTGTCTCTTTTTTTTTCAAAGGATGGTGCAATGTGCAGGTCAGGCCATACCAATGAGTCATAAATATAAGTCTAACAAAGAAAACCGCCAACTTATGATAATCATTAATCAACATACCGTCCCATGGACATCATCAACATGAAAAAATGATTCTTATCTACGGTAATTAAATTAATTAATTTAAGAATTGGTGGTAATTTGCGGCAAAGTTCAAAACAGGAAATATTTGTTAGTTCTATTAATCTATCAATAAATTTTTCACGTCAGAATTTATCTCAATAGATTCATCATATTAAAAAATAGACACACTACTTGTTTTGAGAGAACAAAACAACAGCATGAATTGATATATTTTTACCTGGTCAGCGAGCATTAAAACAGTCTTCATTGTGAATCTCCTTGAGCAAAAATTGAACAAATCTTCAAGACTTGGACCAAGTAAATCCATAACCAGAACATTGTAATCTTTTTCATGCCCATACCACCTAAAAATACAAAAATATTGACTTCGGAAAGGAAAAGATGTTTTTACACTAATACGCTAGGGATTCTTCCAACTTTGAAATTGATATTTTGTCAGTACTATTCTATTTGTTCCAAAGCACAATAGTAGTTATTTAGTTGTACTAAAATGCTACCTGGTTTGGTTGAAAATAGTACACGTATATTTCCATTCTTAAAACAGCCAGGAAAGACCAGTTATATCAATGATGATCATGTATAATCATGTGCCTAAATCCCACTTAAGAGAGTATGTTATCATATTTTTTCACTCGAATTCTTTACCAAAAGTAAAATTGCGAATGTAGTACTTCTATGTCTCAAGTTTTAAACTACATTTGAGGTTTTGGCAACTTTTCTTGTGTATTTGTCTGATTTATTGTAATTTTTTGTACCATAGTAGGGTACAAAATACATATATCTAATCCTATCAGTTTGACAACCAAGGAAAATTGTACCTGATGTGTGGTATGCCTACTCCACCAGCCAAAATTTTATAGAGTTTACTTTCATAAAGAAGTTGTGGGTGTCTTGCTTTCTGTGATTCTAACTTAACAGCAACTTCCTGCATAGAAAGTAAAATAATGTAAAGTTACCTTGTTTTTTATAGTTATCAAAGGTTAGGTATGCCTGAAATGTCCTGAAAGACTATTCCAATTGTATGTAATCGTATATTTTAAATCAAATTATTTTGAAGTATAAAAAATTAAAATTTATTATTACGAACATCACTAATTTTGAATGTATCAAAATATTCAATTAGTACTGGACATCTCTGTTATAAATTAATTAATATGCAGGATATAGACAAAAATGTATACATAAATTGTGATTGTGACTAATTGTGGATATTCAATATCTTAATTTTTATACAAAAAAAATCACAAAGAAATATAAATAAAATTTGGCAAAATCAAAATTTTTCTATACAGCAGCTAATTGTGGATATTCAATACCAAAATTTTTTTTAGAGAAAAAATGATTCGATTAGTTAAGTTATATATAACCAGGTATTTTATTCCCCAATCTCATAGATAAAAATAACAAAGTCTGATTGACATGACAGAAATCATTTTAGTACTAATACACAGTAACGATGTAGTCTATTTCAAGTATAATCCTCTCAGTCAAAAGGGCTTCGTACAATTATCAGAGGATTAAATCTTACACAAAGGCTAACTTCAAATAGGAAATAAAATGATCACGATGATATTCTATTGTTCAAATCCAACAATGGCGCCAGAATACTATTTATACATTGAGGCTATTAAATTCGTAAAAAAATGTTGATAGTAACAATTCTTCAATCCATTTAAATGATTTTAGGTTAGAGATGTCAATATTTATGTAGTGATATTATATGAAATATTCCTATGGCTTGTTTAATCACATATAGGCAATAAATGGAAAATCAAATAATTTGATAATGTTATCATTATCACGATACTGTGACAAACAAAAATTTTTGTGTGAATAATAAAATGTGATTGGTCAAAATATAGTGCGTATTTGATCTGTGAATTGAAGAAAAGATTTACTATTCATTGATTATTCAAAAAACAATATTCCACTATAACTGTATGACTGTGGGCAAATAAAAATTGCAACTTTTGACTTGTGAACAATACTGAATTCTAGTATACATTGTTAAAAATATCCAAGATGATATTTGCCATAGATAGGCTACTACAATTAAAACAATTTGTTGTCAATGCGAAAATATCTTATGGTATGGACATTTTCTTAGTAAACATATTCAGTTCCAGTTAAGTATTTAAGTTATTTCTTTATAATTATTATCCAATAGAGGAATAAAATTAAATATGATTTGCTCTTCCGCGAACTCTAGTGATAAATCCATTCAGATACATTACTGAGAAATCATTAAATTAAAATGAACTTTTAGAATAATAAATAAACTGCTAAAAAATAGGAATCTAAGTGAATGCATTTTTGAAGACAAGAAATTATATTGAGGGGGATTTTAAAGTAATAAAAATGTTCTGCAATGTTAAAATATATACCATAATGAGAATATGACATAACATTTATTATAATAAATGATATCGCTTATCACAATGCTTGAGACATTAATCAATGCTCCTCAATTCCTCAATCTCATTGGGAAAATTCCTGCAGCCACATTCTAGGAAAGCCTAATATATTATATTGTTCTTATTAAATCAAACATCGGAACAGGAAATTCATTCTCACATAATACATAATATGATAATGCATGTTATAAATATGCAGTAGTTGATACTAAATGTAATATTAGCATGTAAACATAAACAATAATTTCACCGAAAGTGAAGTAAATCAATCAAAATATTGTCTGTAAATAAATGATTCTCCATTCTCGGTTCAAATATGAAGGCAGTAAGTAGCCTATACCTTACATTTAAAAAAAAACACTAAACGTAGAATTATACAGAGTGATCAAAAAACTGGACCCAGATAATAAGGAACATGTTTTAGGGAGAACAATAATTTTGTGCAATACCCCTAAATTACTGAAGCTTTTTGGTACAATCATAGATAGACAAAAAGGTCAATTGTTGAATAAATTTTTCCATTTTTGCAGAAGTAATTAAAAACTGATTGGACAAAAGTATTTCAAGTAAAATAATATGAGAAATACAAATATTACCTCTCCATTTGTAACATTGATTCCCAAATAAATATCACCAAAGGATCCACTTCCAATCTTCCTAACCAATCTGTATTTACCGCCAACAATAAACTCCGATTTGGAACTGGAAGAGCTGGCCATTATGATACTGTTTACTCAATCTTGATCCAGCATTTACGTAAGTGGATGAATTTACAAAATGGGTGAAATCTTTCACGTGACTACTGGTTTATAAACCAGTGCAGGCCAACTTTACTTAGCTAAATAAACTATGCTGATAGGTAATTCTGTAAATTTAACATTAAAATATTGAAAGTAGAATAATAAAAAGAATGTTGAATATTGACAAATTGGTACACCGAGTACTAACTTGGACGATTTATAATAAATATCCTATACCTGGATCTTCTGGGCAATTTATTATACTTAAAAAATTAATCTTGTTCAAATTATCAACTTGAAAAAACTTTGCTTATATGGATTCCAGAAAACCTATCTGTGGCAGGCAAGATTGAAGTCTTCCAATTCCATGCAGGTTAATACTGTAATAGTGAACCAGGAAACTACACATCAGCAATGTTTATTCTACTATTGTACAAATCTGCAGGTTAATCTTATATAATTTTTAAATTGAGATCTGTATGGAGCTACTGATGCATTCAAGTAAAGCTCTTGGCGCTTTCTCGTGAAGCTCATAACTTTTTATCGAGGGTCAAAACAAGGTTTATTTATAAGATGAGGAGCTTTTTACCACTACTATTGGGGTCTCATGTAGTTTCGTACCTAACGTACTTCTAGCAGGCGTAGCATAACAATATTTTCACGTGTCAATCCTATCCCCCACCTGACCACGCCATCCAAAAATTACGTCACTACGACGTCACAGTGACGTAATAGAGCCCTTCAAACTATACGAACTGTCATCCAAGACGCGAAGGTGAGAACCCGAAATAGAAGAGTCATCTCTCTCGTTTTCTCGTTGTAACGATCCCGATAGGAAAGAGATCGCTGACGTTAATCAGTTCTTTATCATCGGCGCTATGCCATTTCGGGAAATCATACGAGTATTAGGCAAGCTTTATGACGCGATTGTGACTTCATAGTGACGTCATTTTTGGATGGCGTAGTCAGGTGAGGGTTAGGATTGGCATGTCAAAAAATTGTTATGCTACGCCTACTAGAAGTCCGTTAGGTACGAAACTACACGAGACCCTACTATTGCATGATATTTTGATAAGTTTCCAGAGACGTCTTCTGGTCTTGGTGAGACCTTTTGCAGTAAATTTGCTAAACAAGAACTCAGAATTCAACTGGATCTTTGCTGCACCCAAAAAATGAAAAGTGTTTTAAAGATCACCAAATCTTTCAATGGCATTACCCGGTGGACTGTCTTCCACTCGCACATTGTCAGAACGCTGCTGGCACAGTGCCTTGTTCTTAACTTGTGGACAAATATGCATAATTTCTTATAGTTTTGTAAATTGCTAATATAGTATAGATAATTTTTTCGTGTAAAAGAATAATGAGTGGATAAATGCTATGTAAGTGAGAGGCTCACCAGTCAAAACTGTACGTTTTGGCATTTTAAAATGAAAGTCAGGAAGCGGACGTTTGCCAACTTTTATTTTGTACGCTTATTTATCTTACACATTGAAAGCAAGTTAAGTAGTTTGAAGCGTTATTAAATTGTAGTTAATATATACCGTAACTATGTATAATATCACAATATACCGTAATATATTCAGATATTCAAAGTACAGAAGTACAAAATTGAATTAAGTTATAATCAAAGCGACCTGATTCTGCTATTACTGTATCACATCTATACACTGTGACTGTTGGTTAGAGCTATATACACGCTGCTGTGTATGTGTGTGCGGGTTCATACTGCAGTACTGCGAATATTCGTTTCATCATCCAGGCACTGTGGCCCGGTAATACAGTTACAGTATACTGGTATATGAATATGATGTTTCACTATTTTACGACAGACGGGTATGCTTAATTAACATATGAAATTTCCATATATCCTACTGGTATTGTGGGATTACTATATGCTGTAAAAATAGTACCGGCAAAACTAAAATTGATGAATCCCACTCGCCTACATCATACAACTGAACAAACAAGTCCGTTCGCCTCGTATGCTACGAAACATTTTGCGAGAACCGCTAATGCGGAAGAAATGTCCGCCAAAGTAGTGTTGTGAGAATGTACTTTTGTGAGAATGTGGCCGTCATCAGAATGTAGTTTTGCGGGAACGAGACTGTTCCGGGAATCGCCTTTTCGAAAGTTTAATTTTGCGAGATCCGAATACATTTTCGAGAGAATGAACTTTTTTGCAAATACCTCATACTAGTATTCCTAATGACTGCTTTCTCGTTTTTTTTAACCGCAGAAAAGTTTCAGCCTGATCTTTTCCACATTTTTCGGGATCGCAATAAGTCAGCGATGACGTAACAACGGCAAACTGTGCAGTCGAGGCGCGGCGGTGTGGATCAACGGGCTAAGCGTTAGGAATACGCTCGCCACCGCACCTCTAATTACTCTGCGTGGGTTCGCAGGTTCGAATCCCATGCAGGGATGGTTATGTGCGAGAGGATTACTCGACTCCTCGCCGTCGTTGGGTGGTTCACGTAACCGCTGGTCGGTTACGGCTTCCTCCACCACCAAGTCCATGCTTCCGAAAACAAACAATATGACTAATCCCATACCCGACTTGGAATGGTAACCGGACGAGAGGCCGTGGTTCGCCATATGGATAAGCCGTCTTATCGGCTTTCCTCTCCCCCGGGATAAATATGTAAATCCTATCCTATCCTATCGTTGAGACACTTTTTTTTGTTCATAGACAGGCATGATTGTAATAATTGGCTCGTTTTCGCGGTTCTGCGTGTTAAATGTTAGTTTCAGTTGTGTTTACAAAAATTAGTTGTAAATCAAATAATTTAATGTCTTCCGAAGAGCTTTAAGCAATAGAATAGGCTAAAATTAGCTTTCAGTAACTGCATTTTCGGGGCTGTTTTAAGAGTGCTTTTGCGAGTTGGCGCCTGTAAAATGGGGAATGTGTTTCAAACCATCATTATAATTTATCGAATACAACAATCTGTTTTTTGAAAGTACTGGTAACGAATTTCAGGCTAGTCTAACACCGCTATTTCTACACTAATTTTTATTACTGCAATCAAATTAAAACTCCTAGGAAGACAGAGTGATCATTGAATTATCTGATTTATATTTAAGTTTCCGAAACACAACTGAAAACTAACTGATAAAGTTCAAAAACGCAAAAACGAGGTAATGTTTACAACCACACTTGAAAATCTGTCTGAGTGAGAAAAGTGTCTGAGCGGATGCGAAAAGGGGGCATTGTTACGTCATTTTTTGCATCTTGCTGATTGGCCAATGTCACGGAGTAAACAAGGAAAACGATGCTCGGGGAAAGGTCCATAGGATTAAATATTTTAATGAAAATTATGGTTTTGAACATATGAACCAGTTTGTAAGCGCCAACTCTTCAAATGTGTATCAAAAAATTTGCCATAGTTAGGTATGGATGTTTGCTTGATTCTTGAACACAGAAAAATACTCCTTATTCTTTACCATTGCAAACATTTTGATGCCTATTTTGAGATTGTTTCGGAGAATTGGCACGTATAAAACTGGTTTAGGTGTTCAAAATCATCATATTCATCAAAAACCGCGAAAACAAAGCAATGTTTACGAACATGATTAAATATCTGTATGAGTGAAAGATAAGTCTGCGCGGTTGCAGAAATTTAAATTGTTATGTCATTGTTGGTTTATTCCTGATTGGTCGTTTATTACGGAAATGGACCACAAAATCGATGGTCGATGGAAACATTAATCGGGACAATTTTTCATTGATCGAGGGTCGGGGAAACGTCCAGTGTAGATACATTTAGCCGTATGGGTGTGAAGTGGACTTATGACTCGTTGCGCTAAATTCTTCATATTGATATTGTAGTAAAAAAAATCGTTTTCTATGCAAATAATGTTCTGATAAATTTCGGAACTGCTTCTCAAAAAACATAAAGTGAGGAAAATTATCTGAACAAACTGAATTTTGCCAAGCTGCCCAACGAACAAGACGTAGTCTGACCAAAATTACAGAAATGTATTCTGAACGTTAACTGCTTTTGTATGTTTATTCGGTGTCCAGCTTTATTACCCTCGCGTAATTTTATAAAGATGTGGTAATTGTACTTTTTGCATACTTGAAAAAGATTGAAAAGGTTCACTTACCTTGGCTTTACCTTACCTTTTTATTTAAATGTGGTATGTTTTATTACCTCAAGTCCAGTTTTTGTTAGCGTAATCATTACGTCATTGTTGTGTAATTACACACTGAAATATTGAACAGTTAGTTCTTCGTCGAATAACAACTAACGAACCGGAGCGGGTATGAAATGTTTTAAACCTGCGACTGATCTTGATAAAACACCTAACTTCTAGAACGATATTTATGTAGCTAAGATTTTGAGCCTAAAAAATCAGACCATTTCAGCATTTTGACTGTTGGAATTTATATGGACAGACAATAGTTATCTAAAAACGAATCTAGAGTTAAAACTTAGTCGTGTTTTGAAAGTCTGAGTGCTTCGCCGTTCCCCCCGATAAACATAAACAGCTAATTCAACGTTCGGGAGAGCACAGTTTTTCTCTGCCCCGAATTTTTGACAACCCCATAAAGGTGTTGCAATCCACTCATAAACCAATCTATACTAATTGCTGAGTAACACAATAAATGTATACACAAAAATGGAATTGGTCCGAACACAAATGCTGCAGAAAACTACGGTTGACCGTGATTTTATAGCGTCTTTCAGAGTGGGGGCAGGATCGGTCGATAAATTCAAACGAGAGTCTGAAGTAAAAAGAGAAGATATACAGTTCAAAAAATATCGAAATCGTAAAACTGCAAATTAAAACACAAAAAATGGCCAACGATTTTCCTGCTACCAAAAAATTTGGTTTGGTTAATTTTTCTCAGCGTAGCGTAATCAAAATGACTTCCACGCTAAAAATTCTTTCTCCGATAAAATGCATAACAGCGAGTAAATGCAAAATTATTTCGATGTAAAAGCTAGATTTTCTATATTCTTGCATTTTAATATATATGGGAATTCAAATTTTCCAAATAGATTTAAAGAAATGGGTAAACAAAAGTGTCATTGTACAACTCATATGCATTTTCTAAATATTTTGACTTGAGAAAATACTAAGAGTGCAAAAACATGATCTATATCAACATTTGTTTACATTTTATTGCGCCTTTTAATCATAATTGAAGTTTTGAATTGAGCCATGAAACAAGTTTAACAATCCCATCAATATACAAACCGGCCATGTTATAAAGTATTGCAGATTGAACAACATACAGGTGATCATTTAGAATTAGTCCTTTCTGGGCAGAAGTTGCACTAGTGCAACATCCGGTAAATCCCCCCAGGAAATCGGAGTGTCGAAAATTTTTAATAATTCATCATATATGACTTAAAAGTATTGCTTTCACCAAATATCAGAATTTTCCCACTGCCAAAGGATAAAGGGGCCCGGAGAGGGTTAAACACGAAGTATTCTCCATTTTTACTATGTTTGTGAATTTTTCTTTTTTCATTGCCAATATTATTTCATTCTCTTTTATAACTGACGAAAAATATAAAAAATACTATTTGAATTTTGGCCTTCTTTTACCAATTTAACATTTTCATGTATAAAATCGGCCAGCAAGCAAAACTCCGACAAGTGCTGAAATCTCGCCCGTCTGCTATGCCGCTAAACAACCCCGTGCAACTAACTTGTCCCATTATGGCGTCATATGGACGCCATTTTCGATCATTCGGGTCGAGTAGTGTAACGCAAACAAGCCTAATTTTAGTAGTTTTAAATAGTTATCGGGGAAGATTTAAATGAGTAGTTATATGAGATTTAAATTAGTAGGCGCGGCGGTGTGGCTCAAGGCGCGGCGGTGTGGCTCAACGGGCTAAGCGTTAGGAATACGCTCGCCACCGCACCTCTAATTACTCTGCGTGGGTTCGCAGGTTCGAATCCCATGCAGGGATGGTTATGTGAGAGAGGATTGCTGGACTCCTCGCCGTCGTTGGGTGGTTCACGTAACCGCTGGTCGGTTACGGCTTCCTCCACCACCAAGTCCATGCTTCCGAAAACAAACAATATAACTAATCCCATACCCATACCATGTTGCGCAACTTAGGTATATATGGGCTTTGCTGCTAACATAACTACTAGCGCCACCATACGTCAGAAAAGCACAATAGTTTTTAAACCTGTAACCACAGAGGTCCTCTTTGTTGGAATTTATAGATTTGGCTATGCAGTGCTAATACTGTAATACTGTTATAGCTGTACATATAGTGTGCGTCTAAGAGCTTGGCTCTAGCAGTTTGAGAAATTTGACGGGAAGTAAAGCTTTGAAGAATGGATGCGTTAATTCCAGTTATCAACAAACTTCAAGATATTTTTAACACCATTGGCTCAGATTCAATACAATTGCCTCAAATAGTTGTGGTTGGATCGCAGGTAACTTGAATAATTTTTTATGAACGAGTGGGAATTGCACTTCATTCAGTCATTAGATAACCAGTCCAAAAAATAGCATTTCACATGTTTACCGGTCATACCTTCCAGGTCAGGCTTGGGCAAGTTGCGGGTCCCGTGTAGTTTCGTACCTAACGCTGTAACGTACTTCTAGTAGGCGAAGCATAAAAATGTTTTGACATGCCAATCCTAACCCTCACCTGACTACGCCATCCAAAAATTACGTGACTACGACGTCACAATCACGTCATAGAGCTTGCCAAATACTCGTAGGACCGCCCGAAATGGCATCGGCGCCGACGATAAAGAACTGACTAACGTCAGCGGTCTCTCTCCTATCGGGATTGTTGCGACGAGAAAACGAGAGAGATGGCTGTTCTATTTCGGGTTCTCGTCTGCGCGTCTTGGATGACAGTTCGTATAGTTTGAAGGGTTCTATTACGTCACTGTGACGTAATTTTTGGATGGCGTTGTCAGGTGGGGGTTAGGATTGACATGTGAAAAAATTGTTATGCTACGCCTACTAGAAGTACGTTAGGTACGAAATTACATGAGACCCCAAGTTGCTGCCCAAGTGACAAGCTCTTTGACAGTTTGAATCTGTGAGTCGTGTGCTACTGCTAACACAGAGGTTAATCGTTAAACTAGTCAGCTCTTTGCTTTCCAGTATTTTGAATATAGTGAAAACGTTTGCCATTGAACCTCATATTCAAAAACTTGTAAAAACGCAGCAAAGAATACACTCATTTCATTAAAAGTAACATTTGTATTATGTCTTGTTTTATTTAAATGTGTAATAAAATACATTGAAGCACGCAATGTAGGTTTGCTTCACTTAGTCCGGCCCACCACCACATTTTGAATTTGCAATGTGACCCCATGGCAAAAATAATTGCCCATCCTTACCCCAAATGCAAGCCAAACGTTAGCAGGTAAGTGATTCATATGCGAAATTAAATAATGCATAATCAAAAGTCCGCTTGAATCTCTGAGTACTTTGTTGGGAAGCCTAAGTAATTGACTCGACCTGAGTCACTCTTTATCAAAGCCTCAAAGTGACTCAAGTCATCAAAATTAAATATCTCATACTCAACCAACTGTCACTGAGAATCAATACAGTGATTGAATAGACGGTTGACTCAAGACTCAAGTTTAGGGTCTTTTACCCAGCATTTGTTTACCCACCATTTTTAATAATGCAAAATTAACATCGCACTTGTAAGCTTACCATTTGAACAGAATGTCATCTATGATTGTTTTGAAAGTGTCATATATCTTAGTGCCCAAAATGGATTAAATTATTCATCATCAATATTGTGTAACACATTTCAGAGTAGTGGAAAGAGTTCAGTTCTTGAGAATCTGGTTGGACGAGATTTTTTGCCAAGAGGAACTGGTATAGTTACTCGAAGACCTCTCGTGTTACAACTTGTGCATTTAGATAAGGGGAAAAATAAAACAGAAGAAAATGATGACAATTCAGAAGAAGGTAAATGGATTATTTTCGGATAATTTAAATTTCTTTTCAAGATGATGTGTTTTAAACCACAATTGATTATCATCATTTCTTGTTTGTTTTAATAGTTTATTAATACGAATTATTTCACATTATTGAAAGTCGCATATATCGTGAAAAGCGATTTTGGGGCATTTTGAGACGCAAACTCATATGTCCTTTTCGAAGTTTTATTCAAACATGGAATTTCTGGCTCTCTACCAATCCTACCTCTAAATGAGCCATATTTTAATTTTAGATTCTGATAAAGAAAATGAAAAACCAGGTTTGAAAAACCATGTAAATGGCTCATCTTCAGAGTTCAACCATGGCCATGAAGAGTGGGGAAAATTTTTGCATACAAAAGACAAAATGTATACAGACTTTGATGAAATTCGAACGGAAATCGAAAACGAAACTGAACGTATGGGTGGAACAAATAAAGCTATTTGCAGTGATCCAATTAATTTGAAAATTTTCAGTCCTCGTGTTCTGAATTTAACTCTGGTTGATCTCCCGGGAATCACAAAGGTTTGGTTGTAGAAATTTGTAGTTTGCGTAGTAGTTTAGTAGTTCTTGAGTTTCATTAATCAAATGCAAATGTTCCAAAAATTGATATCCAAAACAAACGATTATTAAATATGATGAATTCCTAATTTTAGGAGCAATTTATACTATTTGAAAATTGTAGTTGAAACTGTTAAAAAAATTCGTTCAATGATGTTGTCACTGCAATCAAACAGAAAATTAAATTTTAAAATCATACTTCGTTCCCACAAGAGTTGATTTTTTTTGGAACCACGGGGTTCATTTTTGGGCCAGGCTAGACAAACAATTAGAATATAAAAGAAATAGCTCCAGAATGCAAATCTAATTTGTGCAGTAAATTTTAGTATCTTAGCAATCAAACATTGTATCGATTTTTGTCAATCAATTTTGGTTTGGAAGTATTATACCATAGGTTAATTTCAATACACATATTCAATGCATAATCATCTCTACTTCTTGTACCAGATTCCAGTTGGTGACCAACCTGAAGACATTGAAGCGCAAGTGAGAGAATTGATATTACAATACATCTCGAATCCAAATTCAATAATTCTTGCTGTTTCTCCAGCGAATACTGATATAGCAACTTCAGAAGCTATAAAGGTATGTTTCATCCTACTTAAGCCAGCTTCCAAAGTCACGGGAAAATTACGCCAGAATCTGGCATAAAACACTGGGTCTTTTAAAGACTAAGCCTGCTCTTGACTACAGGTTATTAAAGAGAATTTTGATTCAGACCTGCAACTTCGAAGTCTGAAAAAGAAACAAATTTTGACAAAGAACTTGGGCATTTGCCATAGACTCATGTTCTTTTGAGAATTCTTAGTCATACCTATTTCTTTGTGAATTTCAGTCGAAAACATCTACATTATGGTAAATTTGTTAATAATAAGAAACTACCAAATTTAATAGTCAAATATTTCTTGCTACCATCTGAACTGATTTATGCTGAATTGAAAAAGAGGAACTTGTTTTACATGCTATAGTTTCAAGGCTGGTAATTGCAAGAATATCTGGTCATATTGTAGTTCCTTACAAATCAGGATCTGCCGGTACAGAGCTATGTTCAGAGTGAATAAGTGAAAAAACTTTACAACCTAGTTTGCTATATATAGCCTAGCCATTACCATTTTATTATATCGAATCTAGATGGCTCTTGAAGTTGATCCAGCAGGAAGAAGAACTCTTGCAGTTGTTACAAAACTAGATATAATGGATGCTGGTACTGATGCTATTGATGTTCTATGTGGAAGGGTCATCCCTGTCAAATTAGGAATTATAGGCAAGTGCAAAGCATGAGTATTCAGCTTAAAGATGGAAAAACATTATTAGATTATTATTTTACAATTTTTATAACAGGAGTTATAAATCGTAGTCAACTCGATATCAACAAACGCAAAAACATTTCTGAAGCAATACAGGACGAACAAGAATTTTTACAGAAAAAATATCCATCGATTGCGAGCAGAAACGGAACACGATTTCTATCAAAGACATTGAACAGGTCAGTAATTTTAATCTGATATTCTAATGATATGTTATTCAGAAGTTGGTATCAATAATTTATTTTTAATATTCCAAATCTATAGTATCCAATCAATGGTATTTTTATAATTTATTACTCTATATTGTGTATAAATTCAACCTTTTGATTTGTTTAGATGGCCACATAGCGGTTTTCTTAATCATATCGATTTAATCTGATTTGAAAACTTTTGATATACGGTACTTCATTTTCTGGTGAATATAGCCTGTAGATGAATCTTGTTCCCTTCTGAGGGAGTGTGCGGGACATTATGCTTTGGAAAATTTTCAGAAAAAATTTTAAACACTGCTGCTCTCTTTCTCAAAAAATATAATTACAGTGATATAAATATCAAGTTACCAGTATTATCACAATATTAAATTAATCTTTCCACCTAAAATTCACAAAGCAGGTTATCGTGAACACAAAAAATATGTGTTTTACTTTTACTACTCCCAATATTCTTATGAAGTCATTTTATGAAGTCATATTATAATTAATAAACTTATTCCTAAAAAATAATTGATTATTGAAAAGCCAATAATATGTTAAAAGTTTTTTGTTTCTCCTTCATATTTGTAACTTATTTCACCTAACTAATCTGGAGCCAATATGCAACTGGTTAAGTTTTTTTTTTATAATATAAGGGTCTAAATGGCCTTCACTAAGACACTCTTGATTTAAAACTATTTGTTCAAAAGTTAAAGAGGAAAGACATTGTTGCCTCCAACTAAATCTGACTGCAGTTCGATTTTGATGTTCAAATTAGGTCGTTTTTTACATTTTTACTTATTCAACTGTTTCTTGTTGAAGGCGCTTTGCTCTGACCAAAATTTACCTAGTGTCTAGCACTGTATTTAACTAATAGTTAATTTTATTCAGATTGCTGATGCATCATATTCGAGATTGTTTACCAGCTCTCAAAACGAGAGTAAACATTCTCACATCTCAATTTCAATCTCTACTCAATTCATATGGGGAGGCAGTTGGAGATCAGAGTGCAACTCTTCTTCAAATTGTTACTAAATTTGCTTCAGAATACGTCAACACAATTGAAGGAACATCAAAAAATATTGAAACTACAGAATTGTAAGATTATAATGTTATCTAACAGTAGGAAATCTGAAACGAATCAAATATATTCAAATTGATTCAAAATTGTAATATTTGAAATTTAGGAGCAATTGAATTCTCGCAATGACAAAAGAGCTTCATTCAATTCATGTAAAAAACTGTGAACTATTTATTTAAATAACATTAAATTAACATTGACTTTACATTTTTTTTATTATACATGGCCCATTATAAATTATTCAATATTTTATGTTTATTGAACATTTACTTTAAAATATACTCTGAGAAAATTCGATTATTCGTTTTCCTTATTCTTGATCTGAGTCATTGTAAATATCTTTCAAATTTCCAATGTCAAATTGGATTCCTGATCAATCATGGATATTAGCTTAATGCATGTTTAGCCATATCACAGTATCACAGCTTAAGCTTCGAGAATGTAGGGAATAGTAAATCTTGTCATTTGCACCAAATTTTTTTTTGGGACCATAAAATGATTTTGAATTTAACCACTTCTATTGGTACTCCCGGCTTAAGTCATAACTTTATTCAAATGTTCCTTATTTTAGTTCTATTACGAGTCGGGGACTGTCTGTTTTAGCCAAGTGAATATACCCATAGGTTTCAGCCCCTCAGACAGAGCCTTTCCATTTGATATCTAAATTCTTAACAAAATTGATTTTTTGCAATACAGCTTGTTGTTCATATTGGCAGTTTTAGTTCAACTTACTTGGATTTTAGGAAATTTAGGAAAAATCATATACTCATCAAAAGTGATGAAATAGTTCATATAACGTTACTAATAAATTTAAATTTTATTTTGCAGGTGTGGCGGTGCACGCATATGTTATATATTTCATGAGACATTTGGACGGACTTTAGAATCAGTGAATCCGCTGGGTGGTTTAACTGATCTTAATATTTTAACTGCTATTAGAAATGCTAATGTAAGTATAAATACAATCAAACCTTATGAATGATACCCCCTAATGCTCGTTGGTGTTTTGTAGACAAAGTTTGACATTAGACGTTATAGTATTAATAAGAGCACTGATATTTATTAACAATGGCAGGGGTGTGGAACCTGCGGGCCAAATGCGGCCCACAAGGAATAATTATGTGCCCCATGGAGAAGTGCCAATTTTGAACGGTGTGTGGCCCGCGAAGCGAGTTTTTAATTACCGTAGTTTAATCTGGTACATGCAAGTTATTCCAATCTTTTTGCGTTGCAAAGCGTATACCCGATTCCTATATCTGAGCTTGTGCAAAGCGAACAACGAATGTCTTGAGATCAATACCCAAAATTTTTGTGCGTGCATCTACTAGAAGAAAGCCTATGTTAAATGAAGGTGCGGCCCGTGGTGTCACCCAGTTATTCATCCGACCCTCCTATATTAAAGGTTGCACACCCCGGATCTAAGGGATGGACGAAGCACATTGCACAGAAAAAAAAAAAATTTGTGTTTGTCCAGAATGAGTCCTGCTGCCCACTGACATTTCATCTAGTGTTAGTGTTAAATAACTCCAACCGATAGCTATGTCGTGCTTGCTGTACTCATGTGTTATTAAAACAACTCATAGTGGAACCTTTAATTTCACTTTAATTTGTTTCCAGGGACCTCGTCCATCATGGTTTGTTCCTGAGGTTTCTTTTGAATTGCTGGTAAAAAGACAAATCAAGAGATTAGAAGAACCATCATTAAGATGTGTTGAGCTTGTACACGAGGAAATGCAACGCATTGTACAAAGTATAAGCGTCCAGGTATTTGAACATTCCTCCTGTTGCTACCTGAGAATTAAAACTGTTTTACAATATGTCTTGTTGGTTGTACTTAAAACACCCCACAATTTCATTTAATGTCAGTTTTGGCTTGATGGGCATGAAGATATGGCACTCTTCATTTGGAACACTGTAAATATTGTTCATAAAATGTAACTTTTTACGTCACACTTACATGGCCCGCCAATACAGGTGGCAAAATTTTTAGTCCCCTAGTCCAAAAACCTTGTTCACCCCTAAAATATACCCATGCTATTTACTTCAGAGCCTATCTATAAGTGAAAATGTAAAACGTTTGAATAACTTTTTAAATTTAATTATTCATTATTTGTATTACATTTCGAATACTGTTTTTGCATTCTGTACCGAAACTATGATATACCAGTAATACCACTTCTAGTGGATTGTTTAAAGCCTAATTCTGAGAGGAGGTATAAAACTATTCATACGGTAGTTTAATTTACATTTATTTTGTTCCACTTATTGAAATATTGAAATCTAATATTCTGTGCCTGAACCCCTGCTTTACACAAAGGGTTCAAATATGTAAAACTGTGTTATTTGTTCAGCAAGGATAATATTATCACATACATTGTTCTACTAATCAATATATTAAGATGCTTGATGTACTTCAAAAATGGACATATTGCGACATATTGTTACAGTGTATTGAACGTTAATCAATATTTTTGTTCACATATGCCAGATGAAATTTTTTCTCAAATTAATTAATTTACAACATGCTATAATATGTGAATTGGCAACTTCGAACTTGATCATTACTAATTATCACCTATTATTTTTATGTGTAATTTTTATGGTTTTATTCATAGAAGTCCTTTACTGTGTTTTAGCAATTAATGCATATGCGATTATTTGAATATAAGCTGCTATCTTTGTGAATTGCGAAGTTCCATAATTTATGGAATTAACATCAAATATATGTTGTTATTTGATGAATTTCAGACATACATGTAACAAATAAAAATAATAATGTTCGTTCTCTTACAGGAAGTTGTCAGGTTTCCACGGCTACGAGATTGCATTGTTGAAGTTGTGACACAGCTGCTACGAAAACGTCTGCCTATCACTAATGAGATGGTAAAGTATATTTCAAATTTGTACTCCAATTATACACTGGTTTAATTATGAACTGAAGCTCGATTACCATTACTTACAATGTTGAATATTGTATGGTATATATAATAAAAGGAGAATTGTTTAGACAACTTAATGATATGTAAACTTCTTGCTTTTCCACCAATTGCTAATTTGGAAAAAGTTATTCTGCATATAGTATACAATATTTCATTTTGTCTATTTCAGGTCACAAACTTGGTAGGAATAGAGTTGGCTTACATCAATACAAAACATCCAGACTTTTCAGATGCAAATATATCTGAACTTCTACAGCTAAACCAACATCAAACTGTAAGTTTTATAGCAAGTTTCCTTTTTACTAACGTATCGTTTTTCTACTATTGGGACCATTGGCTTTTGACATCACCCGAAAACCCGAATTTATTGTACCAAAACTTATCCTACTCATTTTTGTAGTTTTTATCGGTATTCTTGTGCATTATGAACTCCCGACTATAGTTTGCCAATCTTACTATTTTTGCTTTTATAGAATGATAAAAAGAGCAAACCAGTAGCAATAAATGAAGAGCAATTACGTCAAAGATTGAAGGTAATTTGTGATTTTTTCATAATTGAATTAGACTTGGCAAGGACATGATCTGTCAACTTGATAGTTTATTACCATTTTTAAATTGGCGTAATTCAAAGTTACGGACACAATGGCCCAGTGATAAATAAGTTGAACCTAACTATCTTGGCATCACAGGTTGAAGATTTTGAATTCAAACCTCATGAAGGATATATTCGGTTGTCAGTTTCATACAGAAAAATTCCGTTTTCCCACAAAAGAATGGCTCCTCACCTCAGAAGTGTCTTCTTATACTGAGCCTTGTTTTGAAGTGAAGAATGTAAAATCACCCTACCAAAAGTTTTCACCATCTATTTATGGACATTATTATTATAATTTCTTTTGCAGACTGACGACAGCAACGATCCAAAGAGAAATCCATCTTTAGACGCTGTCCTGGAACCAAATTCTGCAGTATCATCGGCTATGGCACTAGGTATGTGTGATGTTTGGATTGAATTTAACTATAATAATCGAAAATTGGTTTTCTCTGAGTTAGACGCAATTCCAAGGAAATTCCTTTTGCAACTTGGGGTATGGTGTCGCACTCGGAGTGGTTTTTAATTAGGGAGTCATTCTTAAACGACTAGAGTTTGAAATCGTGAGTCTGGTAGAAATTTCTGTGACAAAACATCTGCTGTTGCACTCATTTTTTGTGTTTTCATTGTGTAGTTCATAAATGTAACCCATTCGAAATCATGAGTCTGGTAGAAAAACTTCTGTGACACAACGTCTGCTGTTGCACTCGAGGTGGTTTTTAATTGGGGAGTCAATCTTAACTGGCTTAGTGATTGAAATCTTGAGTCTGGTATAATTTCTCTTACACAACCCTGGTTGAGTGTTCACTTGTTGGCCATAGAATCTCTTACCATGACATTAAATACAAAACTGATCAACACTTTGTTCATCCATTTGAGCCGGTTTAAAAAGGAGATATTTTTGAATGCAAACATCTTATTTCCTACCGACTATATTTCAAAATTTGTCTCTTACAATTAGGCAAGAGATGGTTTGGTGCTGCAGGAGGCCAAATGGCTGCTGCTTTACCAAAAGATACAGGAGATTTACAAGCTGTAACAAGAAGTGCTTATCTCAGTCCATCACGTCAAACTAGACAGCAACCTGTCAATTTATTAGATGCGGTGAGTTTGCTATTGGAATTATGTTGATTCAGATTCAGATATTTTATTTTTATCATGCAAGAAAAAGTGGCGAAAGTGTATGACGGCATTAGAAAAAAAAAGTAAATATACACATAAGAAATAACGTCAGAGATTCATCGCAATCGAGAAGGGTCGCGAAGGACTGTAGCAGGTTTGGATTAGTGACACCTGTTGGCTGATTAGTTTAAAGGGAAATGACAGAAAATATACTAATTTGATAATCACAAAATATCACTGCAGTGATAAATGACACAGCGGCGCCCTCGTAGGTTTAACTGTGTGTTCATAAACCATAACAAAACATTGCTTAATAATATGAATAAGCAGAAAAAGACTCGTTGTCAACAGCAGGCTCAAGCTGGAGTTTATCACTGCGGTACGTTGGATGCGGATTAAAAAGCAAACACTCTTTTACACGATAATAGTTATATATAGTAACAGAAGCGGATGTGAATTCAGATGAGAAGGTTCTTTACTAATTATCCAACTTGTGTGTCCTATAAAATCAACTCTCAACAGGTGGAACATAACAACTGTAATCTAATTTAAACCTTACGATTACTAAAAATCCTTAATACAACCGAATGCTCTCAAATGGCAATATAACATAATATCACATTGCAGACCTTTGTGGCCATAAATAATGTGCACCAACCACAAGATCATGAAAACAGATTAATTAGAGTGGAGTAATAGTTTGGAATTGCACTTACTCTTTCGCACTTTACTATTTAATTTGAACGAACTTATTTTTACTTGGTTTCCAGCTGCCTAAATAGTTATTCATTTAAAATTTGGGTTCATAGCAAAAACAATTTTAATTTTATTCGTTAAGTAAACTTAATTATCAAAGAATAATTGACAGTGTTTGTAATATTGCTGAAATCTGGTTTAATAATAGTATTTTTTATCTTAACTTTTTTTCAACTATCCAGAAATTAATCCATTTAAGATATCACAGAAATGCGCCTAAAACTGTAATTAAAAGTATTTGTTTGGGGTTTTATAATATGAAAACTAAATTATTATTTTCAAATAATTGAATCGAAAAGTCAAAACATAAATGCTTGTTTTAACCAATATTTAACAAAAATTAATATATTTACAGGAAATGCCAATCACAAGAAAATTATCTTCCCGAGAAGAAAGAGATGTTGATGTCATTCAAAGATTGATACATTCTTATTTCCTAATCGTGAGAAAAAATATTCAGGACAGGTAAGATTTTTTAGCAAAGTCCAAAATGTAACATGCCTCGACTCCTTTCACATTTGTGTCACAAATGATTTTTTAAATAAGTTGAAAAAAATAAAAATAAAGTGATATGCATTTCAATGTAATTACTGTTCCACTCCATCCAGTCGAGGATGATCCATAGCTCATAAATAATAGATTAAAAAAAAGAGAGAAATGCTCAAATATAGACACAAAGGCCAAAACGGTGTAGCCCAAACCTTTTCCAATACTGGTTGTATGATCACAAGATTGCTGAAATGCGATCAGGGAACCACGGCATGGTGTGAATTTTCAATTTTGTTGATGTCATCACACAAAAATTTTTAAGTGAAAAACGGATTCCAAAGAGCCCAGAGAAATTTTTAAATAGCCTTCCAGCAACAACAACAATCTTTAACCACTGAAAGCAAAGGTACAGTAGTTAATGAGAAAGCGATTATATTCACGACAACAAGAAAAAAAATACAAAATGACGTCTGTCCAATAAAATGTCTTACAACAAATTAGTTGTTGTATATAAATGAAAATTACAAAATGAATGAAGTTAATAAGACAGGTTTGTTATTTGTCTTGTGACAGCCTCTTGTGAGTACCAGGGTCAGGCTTGGCAATCTAGCTATCCATCTCCATCCATTCTTGTGTAATTCTAGTGAAAGAATTTTGTAACCAATATGTGGTTTTGTAAGCTTTACAGCAGTGGTTCCCAAACTTTTTAACCCATGCTCCCTCAAAAAGTTGTCTGCACCCCATCGTTTGAGAACCACTGCTTCACAGACATACTCCACACTAGGTCGCTGTGGTGGGATTCAAATTTTTTGTCAGCTGGTTCCATCACAAAAGTAATATTTTTCAGCCGGTTCTGTTACAAAAAGTCATGTTTTTTTCAGTAATGCAAACCGGTTCGCTGATCTCATAAAATTTCGTGAGACAGTTCTATGGAACCGGCTGAATCCCACCACTGGTCGCAATCTATATCACTCAAACAAGATAATAATAGGATAAATGGATGCTTCCACTCATGTCAATGATTATCACATACTTTTTCAAATATTCTATTTTTGTCTAAAATACTGTTCGTATTTTACGATATTAAAACACAGACAGCCCATAAGAAAACAACGTTGTATATAATTTAAAGATTATATATTTCCTTTCTCTTTAAAATCAATAATTGAAGATCAATTCGTTCACTAATGGTTGCTATTACTGTAGATAAGATATCTTATCAGTGGTATAATAAAAATTCTTTGCATATTTTTCATTTAATTCTGTAATGGCAGGAGTAAAAAATTGTCTGTGTACTCATGTTAAGTATGAATTAAGTTTGATACTATTCAGTTTATGAATTTGCTGCCTATCCTTATGTTTCATAAAAGATGTGATAATTAATCTATAAGTTACTCTGTGTTAAATACTTTACATTACATTCAATGCGAAGGAATGAATAATCTTCTTTATTTAAGTTTTGAGATCACACTTTCTCAAGTAATGTTTTACAAAAATGTGTGTAGTGTGCTAAAAAATGTGCTTTTACAGCAGTGGACAACCTTAGATGTTTTAGTGACACTAAGTAATTCTGATATACAAAAAAATAATGCTACTTGCCATAAGGAAAAACACTGTTTATAAATTTGTGGCATATACAATCCTGAAAACGGGCTCATCTTAATTAGATGTATATGGCAAAGTGAGTTAGTGCTGTCTTATGATCATTTTAATACTTATGGTTTTGGGTAGTTTAGATATGACAATTTATTACATTTATATACTGTATATTTATACGTAAGTAGCTTATCTCATATTTGTATTGGTTTTTGCTAATTATGTTACTGGCAATTGATGAATGTTGGTTGAGTTATAAGACAAAAACTTGGAATCTATTGGTAAACCAGGGATGTGCAACAGGGGGCTAGTGGGCCACAACCCGGCCCGCCAAGCCATTCAGTGTGGTCCTTGTCAACACTCAGAATTTTCCTCATCAAGCATAAAATTCAAATCGGACAGTTCATGTTTAAAAACTCACTCATATTGGTAAAAATACATAATATTTTTTGCTCATGTCACTGCGTTGAATCTTTCCTCATTTTGCTCGGTGTCTTTATTACTGCAAGGCTTAGCAATAGCCGCATTTTTTTCTCTTGCCTTTTCCACATGTTAAACTAAATTTATGTGTGGGCCTGGCTAGATGTCCGAAGTAAGTGATATGGTCCATCGACAAAAAAATGTTGCACACCCCTGGTCTAGACAAAGACGGGTTCGGACTGGAATGTATCTCGCAGATCACTTTAATTTTTGTCACCGAGTCATAATAGAGCAGCATGCGACCTATGCGAATCGCAGTCACAGGTAAAATTAATTTGATGATGTTATATCTATATCGAATGGAGAAGACTACAGAATATATCCAGCTTCAATTGATGATCTTCAGAAAAACAAATCTGAAGTATTTGTATCTAATATCAAAAAGGGCAGTAACGAAAGTGGGGTAAAATTGTTTACTAGCATTCACTGAAGAAGAAAATTTCTATGTCGCACATATTACTTTTTATTGTATCATAAAGACTTAAAGCTATAATTTATAGTGCATAACAAGTTGAGTTATTTTTGGTGAGGCCCGTGACAGAAGGGCAACAAAATCCGTAGTCCAGAAGGCATTTGGCTTGGACATAGCTGTTCTAGGCAAGCCATCTCAAATATTTGATACAAATTTTTTATTACCATTTCATATCCAAACTATTATGTTAGCCTTTATATTTGGATGACAACAACATGTTGTTTATTACTTTAAAATAAGATCATAATATTTTTCACCATTTGTTAATGCCATGTTTTTGTTTTGTCGGCTCCATTCTTTTCTCTCACAGATATGCCCTAGGGACATATTTTTCAAATGAAAACGGCTGATTGCAAAATATGTACCGAGTTGACACTGATCGTGACCTTTCATTTCGCAATATTACAGTGAACTTCTTCTTTGTGTACCATGTAATTAAATTTCGTAATATGTAACTGTAAAGATTTACTTTATGTACGGTAATTTATGAGAATGGTAAATTTTAATACAAGATCACAAATATTTTCTCAGACTGTAGTATTGTTATCATATTATAACAGTTTGCTTATAAATCTTGAGAAGTGGTTGAACGTCCAAATGTATTTGTTCTGTTAACTTTTTTAATTACCCGGCTGCTACGCTAGCAGTACTTCTTGTAAATATGTAACTACCAACAGCCCTGTATCAGGAAGAATTGCATATATTGTTTTGTAGTGCTTAACTAAATTAAATAAATAAAATCAATCAAGTTGGGCCAGGTAACAATCTCTTAATATAAGTAGAATTTTAAACTTCCAGCCTTACATTTTTCTTCTTCACATTCAGTAAATTCAAATATTCTTATGGCATTTTTGGAATTGATGTCCAATACTGTAAACATGCTTATAATAAAGGAACATCAAATGTCACAAGTTCACAGTCAAAATAAGTGAGCCTACAAAGCTTTGCTACCAAAAATTTTGTTGTGCTTATTAATATAAATGATGAACAAAAACTTAAAAACTTTACCTAAAAACATTATTTAATATGACCTTGGGGCGCCTAGCATCTGAGACTGAACTATGAAGAATTATTATTTGAAAATGGCATGACCAAAAGCTGTACTTGAGTTAATTGTGGCTGTGCTGTATAGATTATTCATATGGCACTTGCATATCTACTACTTGTCATTTGTGTTGATTTTGTAATTATCTGCTGCACTGATTTTTGAAGTGTATACTTTATCTAACTATATCTTTATCTCACTATAGGATTTTTGACATAAGGATTTCTGTGACAAATCATAGGTGTGCGTGCTTTCATCATAACAGTAAATACCACTTCCATATAATAGATTCAAATAGACTGAAGCTATTACCGGATTGTCCATTAATTTTTCAAATGCATGGGCGCACATTCTCTTTTAGGCTGGCGGCAGTATTATGTTGCATATCAGCTGCCAGCGAGTACAAGTCAAATTTTGTGTATATAAAATTTTTTTTAATAACTTGTTCAACATATAACTTACTATCTTCAAGTTTGACTTCACATTTTCGAATAACATGATAAAAACTAAAATATACGACTTTTTATATGCCACTGGTTGTAATTAGTGTGGTCACTGTGGTCAGGTTCTTAAAATACTTTCTTAGCAAAATCACACACACTAAACAGCTGTTTTACCTTGTTATTATTATTGCTCCACCTGGCATCTCATCTACGCACTTCGATTACACTTTATACCAGTAGGTTAGGTATTGATAGTCCAATTTCTTATTTTTTTATGAAATCCAACCATGCATTAACGTGACTGTATTACTTGCCATGCACTTCTGATCTGATTGTTAATTAACTCTGTTATAGCTGGGATGTCACGCATGTATTAAATATTTTTCGTTATTTATAGCGTTCCGAAAGCTGTGATGCACTTTCTAGTAAATCATGTAAAAGATAATCTTCAGAGTGAACTGGTTCGACAACTTTATAAATCAGATCAACTCAACCATCTATTGACTGAATCAGAATCCATAGCTCAAAGAAGAAAAGAATCTGCCGAAATGTTAAAAGTAGATAAATTTAATATATATCTTTATTACCTAATGACTGAAGTACATAAAGGATTACAGTATTATCATATATTTTTGTGTAAAATTCTCCTAATGTAAATGTAATGTTATATAATGTAAAAAACACGTTTTGGTCACTTACTTCAACAATAAAATATTGTTTGGCACAATTTTTTAAGACTCGTACAGGCGAAATGTTTCACTATTGAAACTAATTAAGTTGTCCTCGGTTCTGTGATGAAATAATTCTTATTATTACTCAATAACTATGTCAATATAGATTAGAATGAGAAACCACTTTCGAAAGCTATTTACTCTGTAATTTCCTTATACGGATACATGCTATTCAAATATCTTCATCAGTCTTACAATTCTTTTGTTTATTCAGGCATTACAAAGAGCCAGTCAGGTTATTGGTGAAATAAGAGACACTCATTTATGGTAGCGTTTCACAAGGAAGTTCAACATGTCCAAGAAGTTTTCTATTATAGTTTGCTTGTGTTAACCCTAAATGTTATTTCTATCATTTTATATCATAACTATCAATCAATAGTTCGTTTCTAAGTTATATTCAGGAGAGAATATTTAAAACCTATTTGAGTGCTAGTTTTAAATTGGACAATGTTACCACAGCAGTGAAAACATGGTTGACTAATAACTATCATACTGTGCTTAAATTTTAAAAAGATTTTCTAATTTGTGCTCTTTCCTTCTGTTTTGAGTATGATGAGAATAATGGGTTATGTTAATTTTAGACCATGTTATTCAACTTTTATTATTTGTGTGGTAGAATAATTTGTTCTTGTAAACTGTGAAATCTATTGCTGCAAATATATTAAAAGTATATACATGAAAGAAGATTCAATCATCTTCAAGTTGTGATAGAGTATTTATGACATTTGTTTTCACTGCCCCAAATTATTTACTGAGAAAAAGTCTGCCATCAAAATTCCATTTCTAATAGCCCTACATTGGATTGTCATGGGGCAAACTGCTAGGAAATATCCTTTTCAATGAATTTGCTTAATATAAATTTCTCTGTCGGCCCCTCAAATCAAGTCCCTCAATTAAGCATGTTTTATGACATTATGTTGAATAGTAGCATTATTAATATGCAGTTCCTGATGTTTAGTGTTTATTATATCTTTTCTGTGAATCATTGACAGAAAATTGTTGGAACAAATCAAAATATGTTTTTCAGATAATTTTTTTCTGTGATTCTGGAATGATTGTTGAGTTTTGCAATTTTCTTATTTTTGTTGTAACTTTTATATTGTAATTCCTTTGTTTTTTCATTGCTATTTAAACGAATACAATCAATTGATATTCAGATATTTGTTAAAACCTATATTGTCTCATGCATGCTTCAAACAGTCATAGGAAATATTTCTTCAAAGGTATTGTGTTGATCATGTAAATTTAAGTGCACGTGGCTGAAAATAAATGGTAGACAGGCACGTATTTTTTGCAGTGATTATTACAATGGGGTGTAGTACATTTAACACCTTGTAAAAATATGGACGGATTGAAGGCTGGGTGTGATTAATGTGAATCAGGCAATGTATAGGTATACACACACAAAAGCAACCGAGAATTAATGACCAAAATCTATGAAAAAATCATTTGGCTTCACTTTATGCCAGTTGGCTCTGCAAACTAAATATGAAATATACTTTCATTTTCCATATAAATGTTTTTTCATTGTCACGGGATGGGTAATTAAATAAAATATGGCACAATGTTGTATTTTTGCCTGGGCATTTGTCAAATTTCAGGCGATGAACAATCATGTCAAGATTTATAACTCTTTAATTATATATATTCACTGAATTATTTATGCAGTTTATGAATGCCGGTTGGCATTTACTTACCCAAATTGGGATTATGTAATCGATGCAAAATCTTCAGAGATCAGTAACAAATATATGGTATGATGTCTGAGAGAATATACAGTGCAGTCAATACAGTACCTCCAAATTGACCCAAAGGATCTGTGAAATTAGTAATTATTTACTCTTCTGAACGCCCGTGTATATTTCGCTTTTTGTGTTAGTAAACAAGTATAAGTAATATGTCTTCGCCAACGACAGTGTCCAAGGCCTCCAAAACTCCATTCGCGATTGCGCAACGATAACATTGACGTGTATATTCCGCAGGAACGAGTGAACGATCGTATTTCGATGCCTTGTCGCGGCCTCTTGCCATCGCGCGGAGCTGCGTATAGCTGCCACATGTGCAGATGAACAATAACGAAAATTTTCGGAAGCGATTACCAGCTCCATAGTGCCTTGTATATGCGAGGACACGCAGCAATCGCCTTGAAGACCGTCCCACATCGCGCCCTAAAATAACGCCCATGCAACTCCCAAACTACGCCTGTTTAGAGAACAAAATGGCCGATGTTGACATCATGCACTGGTAGAATCTGTAACCAATCAAATTCACGTAAAAGGGGCAAGCCCCTGGTCGTACGTCGTTATCTAACACATGATTGGCTGAAAATACTGTGATGTCATCAGTGTTTATGACGTCCGTGAAGTATTTGGAAATATGTGCGAGGCGCTCACCTACCGAGTTATTGCGATGCGCGACAGCCAAGCCCGAGGAACGCCTGCTGACCGTGCACGTCGGCCTTTCGTTCTGTTTTGTGAATGACCAGGGGAAGCATGTGGGGATGAGGGCAAAGGTGTGTTACTTGCTGGTTTGTAAGTTATTGTCTAATACAGATTAAGCTTACTTGTTGTACCCGATAGTAGACCTTAGCAGTTTTGGTTCAGTTTTACCGTTATGCTCATCCAGTCAACAGCGGCAGGACGTGAGAGAGATTTATTGGCGGGCATCGGGATTTTTAGAATGTCAAAATAAATCGCGTTGACGGCACGTTTATTCAATTTCTGAATTTGCTACTGTTAGTATATGTATATGCAGGTATACATATAACTATATATACTGGTGCGGTTCTTGCATAAATTCATGCCAAAGAGTACTGGAATGAATCGAATGTGTTTACTGGTTTAGCTACGGTACCGGTACCGGTACATCCAGACTTCTGTCTTTGTGTACCGGTATAGAGACATGAATATCTGAATACTGGAATATGGTATGTGGGATAGGAATCTCATGTGGAAATAGGCCCACTGGTTGTGCTGTACTGAAATCAGGAGATAGAAGTTGTTGATATCACCAAGATTTTTTTATAGAGCAAGCCTTAGGTCTGTAGGTAGGCTACCCATGCAGCCATGGTACCGTATATAGTATACTGGTAAAGGGTTCCATTACATTTGAACCCACGTACATTTGAACCCATGACAATTGCACCTGTATGCTATTGCACCTATGGAATTTTTTTTGTTTCACGGATGGTTAAACCCAAACTAACCCTAACCCATGGGTTTTAGCACCCGCATATAGATTGAACCCGTGGATATACGCATGGGTTCAAATGTACATGGGTTCAAATGTACGGTCACCCTGGTAAAGACCAACACTGCTTCACTGTGGTGTGGGTTCATGCCCCATCTGGGAGCATGAATGTCATCATGTAGGCTCTGTATATACGGTACTGATGTCATTCAGGTATTTACAAGCCGATTTAAATATTAAAAATATGAATATTTCCCGTAAAATTTTGAAATTGTATTCATTTTGGCATGACAATCTTATTTTGTTTGAATAAATCAAAGAAGACCTTTAACCCTTTCCATGCGATTTTTATTTTTTATTAAATAATCGTATTTGCTACGCCGATTTTATGCATTTGTACCCCCACAACTAGTCGATCGACTAACGAAAAACTAATAATCCTCTGCTGCCCACTGACTGCTCGTTGGAAAGCTTATTTAAAGAGCTTGCAATTGGCGATCAAAAAAAAAAGTTTTTTTAAAAGTGGTGGTCTGAGTCACAAACCGGATAGAAAAAAGGCATTTTTTTTCTTGGGAGTTGAAACTTCAAACCGTGATAAAAAATAGAAATATTCACTAAATCCTTTACTGTTACCGCTTCGTGGTTGGCAAACAATAGCATAATATTGCTGTAGCAATTTCGTGATCCAACTCAAAATACTTTGGTAGGTAGAAGGGATAATATGTCTTCTATTACCACCCAAAAAACACCGAAATTTGCATAAATTTCAAAAACACTCCCTCGTTCCACCGCAAGTAAAATTCCCGTCGTAAACGAAAGCGAGATTCACGCCGCTTATGTTAATCTCGAAGAAGACTTCTTATCAATAAACTAAAACCCGGAAAAACTAGACCAACAGTTTGCGACCGATTGCTAAATAAAACAGTGGAGTACATTAACGTACCCGCCGCAATCTAGCGACTTTTGTCGTGGGTACGTATACGTGCCCACCGCACGGAAAGGGTTAAGATTAAAAATTGTATTATAAAATCTTTGAGCACTTTTTATATTTGTAATGCATTGCTAATTTATTAAAACAGGTCCTATAGATTTTATTGGATTTTAACATTGTGTTTAAAACAAAATGCGAGCAACCCTGGAGTTGCCACAAACAACTAGATTCCTTAGCAAGTCTCAGAAGACCGAATCTGAGCAGAGTCATACTACCTCACGCTCTATTTGCCCTAATTTGACAAGTTTACTGGAAAGACAACGACCAGGAAATCAATCTTATATGTTAGAACCAACGGCTTCAAATATTGTTGAACCTAGTCAAATTTTGAAATATCAATCCTTTCCTTTGGAAACCGCTTCTAATGTTGAAGTTGGGAGCAGCAATGTGACGACTTCTGACACTTTTCTGGAGATGCTCTATGATAAATTGAATTCCAATACTCATGATACGATGAACTCATTGGCAAATTCAAGCAACATCTTTCACGCCAGCACTGAAAAAACGACCCCATATTTCTATCCACAATACAGTAAAAATATGATCGAAGTCAACCACACGTTGGATGTAATACCAACCTCGGCATCTCAAGCTCATGAAATTCCTACTGCGATTGCTTCAATGCAAAGAGTCGATCATGGAACTATTTCATCTGTTTACCCTTTACAATTCAGAAATGAGGAATCTGCTTCAGGAAGTTCACTGATTAATGTGCAAAATGTTTCTGTAGCTGATAGGACTGTAAATGGAATGTCAACTCAATTCCAGCCATTGTCATCTGTCAATCCATCCTTTGATATTGAGGGCAGCTCTTCAAATTACAGCGGTAATGATGATATTTTTCCTTGGTTTTTCCATAGCACTGCTGATGAACCGCACAATGACGTTCATCCAGAAAATATTAGCCCTACAAATAATGGAAATGAAAAGACTGCAATGAACCTGTCTCAGCCCATCAGCGGCACTCCGTCTTCGACAACTTATGCTAGTCTTGGGAATGTAACTCAGAATCCTGTATTTTCTGCGAACCAATCTGGGGTGCCCGATCAAAACCCAGAAATAGCTTCGGCAATGCAAGAATTTCACCAAGCCATGTTAACGGTTCAATATCAGAAAAAGCGATTAAGCACAGATTCTGATCAATATGTTCCAGCTAAACTTCCACATATGGATTCAGCATACTTGGGTCTGAATTTAAATGCAGGTAGAAATGCAAACACTACATTGCCAACTACTTCTATTTTTGATTCCCATACAGTATCTGTGTCCGCTCCAACTGATACAAGACTTCAACCACCTTGTTATACTGTTGACCTCGAGTCACTTGGAATTAGTGCCAACCCTCAAGTAACAGCAAGCTTACAGTCCAATTATTCTGGAAATAGTATCCAGAACCCGAATAATTTTGTTGTTACGAGTGTGCAAAATGCACATGCTCAAGATGCAGGAATAAAGCCTGTTTTGAGTTCTAGTGATTTGCAGAACCTTGGCAATGTTTTGGATGACCTTCTATCCACTGATTCTAGACAATCTCAAGATGGACATTTCCCAACTCCCAATTCTCTTGCCGAATAGCACAGAGCACCAGCCTTTCCCAGGTTTGTCTATACCAGAAAAACAGGTTGCTGTTGTGAAGCCGATGGAGCAGGGTCATTGTGATAAGTGTGGAAGCAAGTCTAGTGCTTCAGTTGTACAAGTTAAAGAGGAACCACAGGTGTTGAATACTGGTTTCAGTAATAGTTTAGTAATGACACCGAAGAGAATAATAGTTCAACACTACCACCTGCAGGATCAATAACTCACCCAAAACAAGAAAACACAGTTAATAACAATGGTACAATGGCGCATTTGATTGCTTTTAACTCGGATGCAACCAGTAATAAATCTGGTGCAACTACACCACTGTTCATCGCTATCAATGGAAATCTGATTCCTGTAAAGATTGCCCAACTTCAATTGCCAAATGCCCTTACCAACTTACCTAAAACCGATGCATCAACAAATGATCAGAATCGTCAGCCAGGTGTAATCAACGAGCCAACATCTAGTAATGTCAATCAAACAAGTACAGTTAGCAGCAACAATACAGGGAATAAAAATTTTGTTAAAATTGCTCCACTGCCTGTTTTATCTGCCCAATCTGGTGGATGTATCATGATAGCAGGGATAGCTGTAACTTCAAATTCTGCCAATGGTATTGTTGGATCATCTTCTAACATGGATGACAAAAAATCCACTGTGGCTAATGATGCACTTAGGATACACGCATGTGATTATCCAAATTGTGGAAAACGATACACAAAAAGTTCACATTTGAAGGCCCATTACAGGTAATGTTATCATTTATATTCCAAATAGAGAAAGACTGGTTTTGTTTGATAATTTTGTAGTCGTTATCATAATATAGTGAAGGTATATTTGGCATAAGGATTTCTTATAGTACCGGTATATTGACAGAATTTGAAAAAACGCAATTCAGCAGACTGTATATTGATCTTTATGATATCAATGCCAATATGTAACATAGAATGAAAACTTCTGTGATATGTGTCACATTAATGTTGAGGGATATTTCAATGCACTGAAAACATTAATTTTTCTTTTTCTGTGTGTATGCAGTTTAATAGTAAGATTTATTGGCAGTCACAACATATGAATTACCGTACTATTTTTTATGAGATTTTTGTTGTTCAAAGCTTAGATGAATTTCATTTATAAATCATGCTTAATTAGGTGTAATTGAACTTTGCGAATGGGAAGTAGGTATTGTTAGATGTGTACAGTCACATTTATTTGCCTTTGGCCAAAGCAGTACAAGCCTATTTCAAAAATCAAGGGAATATTTATTTTAATGGCTAACTTGATATATAAAATGACAAATTTTATGACTTTTATAGGCGGCATACTGGGGAAAAGCCATTCGTTTGCAAATGGCCTGATTGTGGTTGGAAGTTTTCAAGGTCAGATGAACTCGCTCGTCACAAAAGATCTCATGATGGAATTAAACCATATGCTTGTCCGTTGTGCCAAAAAAAGTTTTCAAGATCCGACCACCTTGCTAAACATGTGAAGATTCATAAGTAAGATTTGAACTTATTTCATTAATTTAAATTAGTTGGTTTTATTGATAATTGTTACAAATAAAGTTATTGTCATTTATGCCTTAACTTATTGAATTTGAAAGTTTGTGCATATTCGTAGCTGTTCTAACATATCCATATGACTGTTTCAGAAATGGAAAACTGCATGGTAAAAGCACACAGTCGAAAGGCAATGTTCAAGTACCCTCTGTGCAACCAGTCAAGAGTAATCCAGATACATACCAAGTAAAGAGAGAACAAGTTCCAATCGATTCTACAAATGGTTTTCAAAACAACAATAATATAATGACCTCATCAAAAATAATAACTATTTCTAATATGGAGGAGCAACCGAAATGACCATAAACAACTGATGTCTTGTTATGGTAGGTCATTATGTTTTTATTTTTGAATGAAAATACTTGAATTTTGTTATGATATATTATATATGTGGTATCAATAATAATAATGTACAGAAATGCTATTGTTATTGAAATATTACTTAATTAGTTCGAGGGCGTTGATTAATATTTAAGCAAGTTGTTTTGAAAAATATGAACAGGACCATAAAAGTGTACACTCGCTAACATACCATATGGCAATAGGTAATTTGGCTCAAACAATCTAATATGTTAATCGTAGTGAAATTTCTGTTAAATAATCTGGGATACTTGTTGCTGAATGTTGATTGACAGAAATATTGGCTAGCTAACAATTTGATAGAATATGTTGCATCAAGGATGACTCGGTGAAAGATTAAAAATGGTTCGAATTTGTCGTTGCAAATTGCAATCTATTGAAAGTATTAGGTGTAGTAGAATTAAGGTTTTGTACTATTTAGGGACGAAACAGTTGTACTATGCTATTGGGATGAGCATTTATAAAAGAAAGGGTTGCTTGAGCCTAAATGTATTTTTTGAGATGTACGTACGGTCAGGCATGTTGAGGTTCAACTTTTGTTGCATCTCAATTACTCGGAAATATCGATATAACTTTTGTATCATGAACTCTGAAATGTTAGCTACTGTTATATAATGGATGTAATAATAGATTTCATGTGACGTTAGGATCAACTTGTCACTTCAAAAATAACTTCAATATCTATATGTGATGTGGTGTTTATGCTACCTTGTAGTTGTAAATGAAAGACAAAATTATCAAGCAAACTACGAGACTTTCTTTTGGCTTCAAAAGTCAAGTACTTGTTATGGGACAAATACGAAAGACGTATTGCGACACTCTTAAAAGTACAATATGGTACCACTTACGTAGTTATTTTCTCCTATCTGCCCATTTTCAATTTTAAAGGATACCAAAATAGACTGTTTTGAAAAAATATCATGATTCGAAATTCAACATAAAATGCTTGATTCGTCATGTAAGTCTATGAAAAGAAGATGAGTTTATCTAAATAGTAATTCTCAGTTATCGCATTTCTGTTAACTAAAATGATTAGCCGGTCTTTATTATTGTGTTCCATGCTAAGCTTCATTTGTTAGTCAGTTGTATTATAAAAAAAATCTGAATATTTTGGAAATAGTGAATCCAAGATTCTAATTAATAGTAAAACAAATGTGACATGCTAAATACAAATTTTTGTGAACAATTCGAACATTCGCTGGTAGTTATGCAAATATGAAGTCCTTTTATGTTCCATGCTACATTTCATTTGTTGGTCAGTCGTATTATGAAGATTCTGTATATTTAGGAAATCTTGTATCCAATAATATATTTAACAGTAAAAATAATGCGACATACTAAAAACAAATTTATGTGAACTATTCCAACATTTGTTTAGTGTTAACTGTGTGAATTTTATCATATTCAGAGAAACATTTGCAACCAAATTCTGTTTATTTTGTTGGTATTATTGAGTTCAATAGTTGGCATTAGGTCATTACGGATGCCATTTTTAACATGAACTTTTATAAACACATGAAATTGAACCACATTTGCTACACCTGGCCTGCATTGAACGTTCAATTTAATTCTTTGTTTTTTTCGAATTCTTGCTATAATAAGACCTGTAATTATCCTGTGATATCATCTCGAAGGCAGCTTGTGAAACTATTTGGAAATTTTCATTATCAAGTGTATGAGACATATATTGTTGATCAAGCAATTCGTAGAACTGAGCCAAAAACAGCTTCTGTGAATATGTTTGATGGTTTAGAATCAGATCATACTGTTTAGTTAACAAGCTGTGTTCAACATGTTTTAAAACCAGTTGGTTTCATTTTATGAAGCATTGAAATTATTATGATATAGTACTGTGCGTGAAATTTAATGGCTACTCTCACTCCTACTTCATTCCACATTTTTTCATTTGCTGTTTAAAGTAAATGTGATTGTGGTTTACACTCGATTGCACGGTGCTCTGATTATGAATCGCAGTGATGTGTTATCATTTAGGCTGTGCTCACAAAAATAATTCTGTATCTACTCATGTATGGGGGACATTTATGCATTAAAAGGAATTTTAAGATGCTGCATATAATTAATTTACCATTACTAAGCTTAATCAAGTGTTGCAATATAATTTAAACATTGTTGCATTAGCGACTAGTATTCAAGGATATAGGTTATATATATGTTAGTTACCAGTTATGACTGGAAGTAAATGTGCAAATAAAGCAAGCTCTGGTGGTAGAACATCGTTCATATATGTCCTGACAGGAAAGAACCTAGTCATACAAATTGAACAAAAAAAATCAATAAATTCATAATCATGATTACTTTGAAAGGTATCGATATGCTTCAAAATCAGATAATGAGAATGGTTGAACTGAGTGAAAGCTGTAAGGGCATGAGATAGCAAAAATTATTGCTTTGAGCAAGTCATCGTGATAGCAATTTTTGATATATCTCATTCTACATTGAATTGAAGTGATTTAAAATTGTGCCACCATGGCCAAGTATATCTGTAATACATTCTCATCCATAATACTTCTGTGTGGTATATCATAAAGATTATTCTCTCTTCTAAGTTTAATCTGAAAATACCACCAAAGTGTACAACTGATTGTCAATTCAGTTCCAAGTTTTATGCACAAGTCTTTATTTAGTTTTTTTTGCAAGAGTCGTAAATTTCGTGGACTAACAACTAGGTACTTCATTTACCAAATTTCTTGCGAAATATCTTCCCCATAAATATTTGTTAAACTGGAAAATGAACACCTCCCAAAATAATCAATAATGACTTTTGTGCAATGAATTGTTTCATGAGTAAACTTTTAATAAAATATATAAATATGTATAATTAAACATTCATCTTCTCCATGCGAAGTATTGCTAAGTATTAATTAAAAAATTTATTAACCAGAATCAAAACATGTTATGATAGAACCTTCCTGTCGATGCTAGATAAAATTTGTTTATAACTACTTCTCAATGCCTCATTCTGAAACATTGTCCCTACGTGACCAGTCGTCACGTCAAAATGTCGACATACCGGGTCGATTAATTTTACATGTTTTGACTGACAACACTCTTTATTTATATATTTATTTATTTAGCATAAGCATATTTAGTGAACATAGATTGTTTTGTACACTTGCAAGCTAGATACGTGTTTTCTGCCACGTTTTAATGTGCTGTCAGCATTATTTGCCGGGAATAGAAAAGAGAAAGAAAAGGAACACAACTTTTGGTTTAAACTTGGGTTATATCAAACATGTATTTTCAAGTGGTTCAATCGTGTGTTATCATGTCTTGTGGGGTAACTCTAATTTCCACACCAGCGTACATATTCACTCTGATTTTCAGCGATATGATATTTAAGATGTGGTGTAGCTGAAATACTCGCAAGGGAACACTGTCGCGGCGAGTGGTCTCAAGGATTTTCAAGGGCGAGCGGCGCGCTAAACAACAGCAAAGGCTTATGACCTCACGCGTACCATTTGTAGGAAGTGTTGTGACTATGCATCGATGTCACATGGTTCGAACCAAATATTAATGAAACAGCGTAACGCAAGCATCACGCCAGACGTGACGTAGATAGGTTACTCCAAGTCACTTGCCGCCATATTACATTGTAACAAGACTACGGCAAATAAACTGCTATCTTCATACATGGTTGCGAGAAGGTGATTTATAATTGAAATTTGAGATGTGCTATAGAAGGACCTATCTAAATATAGCTCATTATTATGTGGCCATGTTCGGTAATATGTGAAAGAAATAGAATTTATTGTCGGTATAATACAAAGGTATTATTTACATGACGAAGGATACAACTGTGCGCCCCTAGCCCACACTGCGATCGAAGTTACTTTCTCGTATTAAAAATAGATCAGCATAATAAAAGATCCCGGTGTACTGTGACAAATGTGCTATTAAAATTTTGCCGCGCCTTATCCACGCCTTTCGTACACAATCGCTCCAAGGATGTGTTCATAGAAAAACTTAATGAAGCGATTAATATGATATTCAGATAGTCATTGTAGAAGGCCTGCTAAATAAGATAAGACGTTTCTCAATCAAATATTATTATTTGGAAAATGTAATTTAAAATAATTTTTCTAATGGGAAATGACGTTTTCTGAAATGTTATATCAGAAGCTAAATATTCTATGTTTATAATTCATACAAAATGAAGTAGAAAAAGTGTGAGTTTCTGGTAAGCTTTCTACCATATTGTTAGGAAGACGTATACTCATAAAGAACAAACCCAATGATTAAGTGTATATGACTCATAATATCTTTGCTATACTCAAATTTTATCTCATCATTATAAGGTTATGTGTAACACCTTACTGTAGTATATTATGTTTGACTTGGTGTTTTCGATTCATAAGCCCGAAACGGAATTCGGGGGAATATTCTGTGTTAACATTATCATATCCAACCTTGGAAATATAGCCAAATAGTGCTGATATCAATATTATATATAAAAAGATTTATGTAATTTCATGTTTCATATGTATATTTATATACAATTGAGTGTCGATTTGGACATTACTATTCAACAGATAAAGCGTCGCATACCAAACACCAGTTCTTTCCTATGGTTTATCTTCTTGCTATACAATTATTTTGTCGATGTAATTGAGACAAACCTTGTCAAACTCCTTTTTAAGACGAGAGCAATTTTTTAATGCGACCTGGTTTACTTAAGCCGCGAGAATCCGGAAACATAACGTGGCTACGTTTCACGCTTCCCAAGAAAGTGGGTGTGTCACCAAAAGCGTCACGGTCCACTTGATGATGAAATTTTACTTTATTTTTCAGCAAATCATGGCGAAGGCGGCTGTTGCAGATGAAACGAAGCCCAGTAACGTCTTTGGTGGATTTGGAAACCATTATTATTCACATTTTTTCTTTAATTGCGATATATTTTTGTTTATTTTATGCTGTTTTAGCATTTATATATAACACTATGGCCTGTTAATATGCTAATATATATATATTGTTAATTATATTGTGCGTTATATAATTGATTGCAATTGTCTGTGCTTTTGCGGTATTTTTTGTTTTCCAATGTGAATTGTTTGTATGTACCATGCAAATGCCAATGATAAGCCGTAAAAGGGTTTGCAAGTAACATGTCAGAAACCGGGCAATTTCTATGCAAATGAGTTAAAGAATTGAAAGTTTGATCGGGTAACAATATTAAATTTATAAACTGTCGTGAATATTAACAAATGAAAATAAAATTATTCCGCTACCAAAGTCTGGGCCACATCAAATCGGAATAACTTTATTGTGAATAAAGCTTGTATACATACGCCCATTTCACTGCGATTTTTTTGTTACGCTCAAACTTGATTGTAGAAGTTATGGGTTAGGGATGGGTCAACTGTAGACAGTTGGATGTTTATAATCGCTTAATCAATGTTTTCATTTATACTGAACCATGTTTGTGTATTTTGTAGAGAATTGTTCCTTTTTCATTAAACTAACATCTTGCGATTGTTTCAAATATGTATTATTTTATTAAAAAATGTTCCTCTCAGTAGTGTTTTTCATTTTTGTGACCAGATTTCATATGTATTATGCCCGTCTACCTGTCCGTATCATGGAAGCTTTATGTTACGTACACTTTGTAATAGGTAGTTGTACACGTTAATAAAGTTTCCTGAAAGTAACAACGAATTTCGTTCGTACTAGAACCTATATTGAAACAAAGAACCTCTAGGTGTCATTCGTTTCGACCTTCAATCAAAACCTGTTTGGCACCTGTGTAACGAATTGTAAGAGACAAATTAGCAGGCCATTAAGAACCTTGAAGTGATAATATGTATGAAATAAATTCAAGAACGGGCGGACGAACAATGATTCGATCGAACTACACGTGCTGCCAGAGGAGAAGTTTTGGAAATATATCATCCGCTTTTATATCGAGATAAGACAATCGTCTAATTTTACATCAATCTTTGCTTGGTTCAAAATTACAAATTAATAAACCAGCCGGAAGAACTGTCTCTATGTCTGCTCTGTAGCGGATTTTTTCGGGTAATCGAATATCAGAGGAAATAAATATATGGTAATGAATCTGAATATTGGTAATTCGTATAAATTTCCCCTCGAATATCGAGACCTATTATTGCGAACAATATCGGCATGAGGTTATGTCAAAGAGCCTCAATTTCCACATTCAATTTGACTCACAAAATAATATCAATCGAATGGAAGAGTTCGGCGTCAACCGGAAAGTGGCAAACATAAGAATGTGGTGTTGTCCGCTTACATATGCCATAAGGAAGGAAGGCAATTTATACACACGCCCGAAACCGTGAATGTGAATTGATGCCACAATGGAATACCAATTGTAATGCAGATCGATCCAATGTCTCGAGCACAACTGTTGTCAAAACTAGAACCAGCTAAACTTGGAACCAGTGTTGATTAGACTTGACTCTAGTTACGTTTTTCTAAGACTTGAATGGACCCGAGTCAGTCGAAATGATTGAAAAAAATCGAAATTTTAATAGCATGTTCGAGCAATATCTCGATGGTATGCCAACCCGAGAGCACTTTTAGTGCGACTGCACAGTTGTAAGTCATTTTTCGTTGCACAGAAAAAACTAGTATAAAAGTCTCGCTAGAGTACCGGCGTTAAAACCCATTTCCCAGATAACTGCCAGACCGATCGTGACGAAACTTGACATGAAGCGGGGGACAGGTGCCAAAGGAACACAGAAAATTTTTGGTAGCGATCGGGCCAAAGGAAAGGGGCCAAAACGGGCTTTTAGTGTCCCGAGGCTGTTTATTGGCCAATAAGCAGTCAATCAAGTAACGCTAGAGTGATTTTGGGGTTTAGAAGCCGTTTAGCTCCGTTTCGGGGCCAAAAAGCGTTTGCCCGAGTATTGGGAATTTTTCAAGTGATATTGGGGGTGGGGGCACTGCCACCGCCCCCCAGTGGTGAGAAAACGTGTGGAAAGCCACGCCCACTTAGGTAATATGGTTTTTGGGCTATTAGGAGCACTTGGAATTGGTTTTTGGGCAAAGTGATGCTAAATCTCAAAGGGACTAATATATAGAATATTTCACCACCTGAACTTTGGGAATTCCCCCTCCCAATCGCCCTCCAGTGGCGTAAGAAGGTTGCGCACCTAAAAATGAAGCTATCGAGAAATAAAATAGATAGGTATGTTGGGAAAATTTAGTTTAATGCTTTTTTCAAGAAATTTTTTTTCTCTACTCCCCAGTCATGGTCTAGTGAGTTTGGCTTATTGCAGGCCTCTGAAAGGACTTATTAAGAAAGTAAAGGCATGGGCATGTTTAGAAAAATTATTTGAATCTATTTTGAAAGAAATTTTATTTCTCCAGCTCCTCAGTCACGCTCCAGTGATTTTACGTTATATCTCGAGAATGGTAGAAGGTAGAGGTGCCATATTTGGGTCATACAAGGTAGTTGAGGTCTAGTTTATGTCAAAAAAAATTCGTCACGGTTGAGTGATCACGGACCTTAAAATTGGAAAAATTCGACTCCGGTTAGGGGTGATCAGTTTATTACAGGGTATTTGAACTTCTTAATGGACTAGAGGGGTCGGGGGCAGAGCGCCGGACGAATTTCCGCCATTCGTCCGGCGCAACGACCCGGGTCCTCCAACAAACTTCAAACAAACATCTGCTTCTTAATTTACTAAAAATATTTCCATACATTTCCCCTCGCGGGTAGCGCAGCGACCTTCCCCTGGATGGTCTCGCAACCTGTCGCACTGAAAGTGCGAATGCACAGTCTAAATCAGAAAACGTTGCACGTGAGGTGGAAGTTAAAATTCTATGCGTGGGAGACCGACTGATGAGCATTTCCACTATGTAGGGTAGGGCAGATGAGGTAGGTGATTAGCACGTTAGTCAGGTATCCCTGTCCGCATGACGCAGAAAATTTTTGGAAACGATCGGGCCAGAGGAAAGGGGTCAAAACGGGGTTTTTGTGGCCCGAGGCTGTTCATTGGTCAATCAGCTGTCAATCAAGTCACGCGAGAGTGATTTAGGGGTTTAGAGGCCGTTTAGCTAAGTTTCCGGGGCCGGAAAGCGTTTGCCCGAGTATTAGGAATTTTTCCAAGTCTTTTTGGCGGTGGGGGCTGTGCCCCCACGCCCTCTGTGGTGAGAGAACTCGTGCAAAGCCACGCCCACTTAGGTTCTATTGTTTTTAGGCAATTCTGAGGCATGTGAATGGGATTTTGGGCCAAGATTTGCCTAATTCTCAAAGAGTATAAATATTTGAAATTTTCTTTACTGAAAAATCGGTGTTTCCCCCTCCCAATAGCCCTCCAGTGGCGTAAGAAGGTTGCGCACTTAAAAATGGAGCTATTGAGAAATGAAATAGATAGGTATGGTTGGAAAAATTAGTTTAACATTTTTTTGAAGAAATTTTTGTTCTCTTACTCCCCAGTCACGCTTTAGTGATTTTGGCTTATTGCAGGCCTCTGAAAGGACATATTGAGAAAGTGAAAGCATGGGCATATTTGGAAAAATTATTTGAATCCATTTTAAAAGGAATTTTTTTCCTCCAACTCTTCAGTCATGCTCCAGTGATTTTACGTTATATCTCGAGAATGGTAATAGGTAGAGAGGCCATATCTGGGTCATACAAGTTAATTGAGGTCTAATTTATGTCAAAAAAAATTCGTCACGGTTGAGTGATCACGGGCCCTAAAATTAATAAAACTTGATTTCCATTGAGGGTGATCGGTTTCTAACCTGGTATTTAAACTATTTAATGGACTAAAAAGGTCGGGGGCACCGCGCCGGACGAATGCCGCCATTCGTCCGGCGCAACGACCAGGGTCTTCCAACAAAATCAGAACAAACACCTACTTTTTACCTTACTAAACACATTTCTTTACATTTCCCCTCGCGGGTAGCGAAGCGACCGACCCCTGGATGGTCAGGCAACCCGAGAGCACTGAAAGTGCGTATGCACAGTATAGATCAGAAGCCTTTGCGCGTAAGCCAGTAGCCAGGACAAAGTTAATTAGAGTAGACCCCAACATTCTGGCTTTCCCGGGAAACTGTTGGGCCAATCGGGACGAAACTTGGCATGTACGTGGGGACTATTGCCAAATGAACCCAGAAAATTTTTCAGAAGGAACGGGCCAAAAGAAGTGGGCCAAAACGGGGGTTTTAGTGGCACCTTCAGAGGTTGCAAGACATCGAGCTGTCAATCAAGTCACGCTATGTGATTTTGGGGTTTAGAGGCCGTTTAGCTCCGTTTCCGGGGCCAAGAAGCGTTTGCCCGAGTATTGGGAATTTTTCCAAGTATAATTGGGGGTGGGGGCAGTGCCACCACCCCCCAGTGGTGAGAAAACGTGTGGAAAGCCACGCCCACTTAGGTAATATGGTTTTTGGGCTATTAGGAGCACTTGGAATTGGTTTTTGGGCAAAGTGATGCTTAAATCTCAAAGGGACTAATATATAGAATATTTCACCACCTGAATTTTGGGACCCCTCCCAATCGCCCTCCAGTGGCGTAAGAAGGTTGCGCACCTAAAAATGAAGCTATCGAGAAATAAAATAGATAGGTATGTTGGGAAAATTTAGTTTAACGCTTTTTTCAAGAAATTTTTTTTCTCCTACTCCCCAGTCACGCTTTAGTGATTTTGGCTTATTGCAGGCTTCTGAAGGGACTTATTAAGAAAGTAAAGGCATGGGCATGTTTAGAAAAATTATTTGAAGCCATTTTAGAAGAAATTTTTTTTCTCCAGTACCTCAGTCACGCTCCAGTGATTTTACGTT